GTCAGTCACTACCGCGACATCCCTGGTGATGAAATAAACCATGGCTAATCACACATATATATATATATATACATATATATATATATATATATATGTATGTATGTATGTATCATGGTGTGTCCTATTTTGATCCTTCACTCTCGGTCGCAACACAGTTTTCCTGGTTTTCCGCAAAGCAATCGCCCGGCCGGAGCCCGGCCTCCTCCAGGAAGCTCAGCGGCACTTTGGAGCCCACCTTCATCGCCGCCTCGCAGGTCGTCACATCTCGCTCACCGGCACGCGAGAGGAGCGCCAACACCTGGCGCGAGAGGAGCTTCTTGGTCCATCCAATCCATGGTCCATGCCAATGTGGCGCTCGCGTTGGGGGAGCCCTGGATTCCTTCACCCATGGCCTTCGAATCTGACCAAACCGAGCCTAGAAGCTTCCTTCCGGGGAAACTTCGGGACAAGTCTGGTGCTGCTCACAAGGTCCCAGTCCCAAGTGGTTCAAACAAAGTCCAAGCTTGAGTTCCAAGTCTTTCACTGCTGACACACACACACACACACAGAATACTTGTCACATGTTCAGCCTGTTCATGTGCACCAGCTTTCCGTAAAACTTTGTGGAGACTGGTTTTTTGTTTTAATTTTTCGCTCTTCCCTTTGCCGCCTGCAAGCTTGTCAACTAGCTTTCTATGGATGCTCCCACTTGATCGTGATAACTTTTCAAGATCAAAACGGGCAATGAACCTGAAATCACACCTCTCCCGAAAACAGGCTCGGCCGCGCTCGCCTGGCGCCACTGGCTCCACTGCAATGCCCCCAGCACCACATTCCGCTCATGCACGTTGCGCTCCTTGCCGCCCAAATTCAAGGCCTCCCGCCAGCGGCGCGCGCCGGCGCAGCCGGCGACCACGGCGCGGCGCGGCACGGCGTTGGGCCGCACGAGGCGCCGGGCAGCGGCCTGCAGCTCCGCCAGGCCACGCGCCCAGCCCGAAGCCGAAGCCGCGGATGCCGCAGCGGCGGCCAGGGTGAAGGAGTTGCACCGTAGCCGTGCTGGGTCCAACTCTGCGTAGAGCAGAAGGGCGCGGCGCCACTTGGCCACGCACTCACATGCAGTGATGGAAGAACCAAGGGTCACCACGTCTCTTTCCAGTCCTGAGCCTTTCATAGCGCCATGAAGCCACAAAGCATGTCGCCATTCCCCACTTTTCTGAAACACGTTGATGGCCGCATTGCCCACTTCCGTGCTCAAGCATCCAGTGGCCAAGTCCAGCGCACTCTGCCACAGACCAGCTTTCTCAAGCGAGGTGATGGCAGATGTGTACGTGACATCAGAGGAAGACAGCCGCACCGTCCGCATCTCCCGCAGCAGCTCCGCCACCAGCCGCCACCCCTCCGCGCTGCTCATGCAGGTGTTGTACCCGACGTGATCGCGCTGCAGAAACTGCAGCGCCCGGCGCCAGTCGAGGCACGCGCTGACCGTGTTTTGGGTGACCGCGTTCCGCTGGAGGCAGTGGCTTCCCATGGCGCCCAGCACCTGCAGCGCCACCTCCCAGCGCTCCCAGGCCGCACGCAGACCCGAGTTGAAGGACACCACGTCAGTCACGTCAGCCGAAGCTGCGGATTTCGCGTTGAGCAAAAGCAGCGCCTTGTCCCAGGCGCTTCGGAGGGCGCTGAGGTTCGCGTTCAGCACCACCACGTTGCTGACTGGGCCTGCCACCTCGGCCATGTGGGCCCTCACACACAGCGTGCGGCGCCACTGAGCACCCTGGGCCACGCAGGTGGCACAGGCGCCCCAGGTGACAGCACTACTCCGGAGGCTCTGCTTCTGGAGGGCCCCACAAACGCACTGCGCCCGCTGCCAGGGGCTTCCGCTGAGGCAGGAGTTGAAGGACACCACGTCCAGCCGCACCTCCGAAGACGCCAAACTCTGGCACAGCGCCAGGGCTGAGCGCCAGCTCTTCTTGGCGATGAGGCGGTTCCAGTAGATGCACTCGTTGCCAGCCCGAGGACCGTGTTTCGACCCCATGAAAACCGCCCATTGACAACCCAGGTCCGCAGACGCGAAGCTTGGAGCTGGCCGCGCCGGCTCATGGCAGGCATGAGAGAAATGACGCAGGCCGTATTGCTGTGCCAAGGCCAATGCAAAGTCTGCAGTGAATGCTGGCCCCTATGACCGACCAGAGACTAGACATGCCCCAGAGATGATGCATGCCATGGCTGACATTTGGGAAATCCACATGGCCTTCAAAGATGCTCTACCACATTAACATGGCAGGTAGAAAGCTTTGAGGTCCCGGTGAGAATCGTGGGCAGAGAAGCCAGCGTGTACAATCTCGCTGCAAAGGTGCCTCTACACGCCACGCTTGTATCTGGCGGCCGCGAGAAATCGGGCGGTATGAAGCCACCACTGGCAATTCTGTCAACGTCGTTTCACTGCTGAATAGACTGAACTTGCGTGACATCTCAGGCAGAGGTTGAGGTTTGCGAAACTAAATTTATACGTTGCCATGTAGCCTCAGTTGGCGTATGACATCTTCAGAAACGATTCACTAAAATTGCGAATGGGGCGTCAACACGCTTCCTTCAGCAACTCGTAGCACGTGCTAAATGTGTTGCACGTGCGTCAATGCTCCCAATTATTTGCAAAATACTCAGCATTGAAGGCAGCTTCCATATACCCGGGGTAATCTTAGACTGCCTAAAAACAGTTAAATCAGTTGCCGTTGAGCGGCAAAACAGTCACTGTCAAAAAGGTTCAGTGGACAAAGGTCAAACCAAGGGGCAGGCCCGACTTGGAGATGTTTGCTGACAACATGATTGGTCACATGACATCGCAAGTGTCTAAGATTTGGCTGGAGTAGTAGTTTGCTTGGCTTAGACATGCTGCATGCGTGCTCACTGCGGTCCACCTGACTCCGTCCCATCTTCATGCCGCATGTCATAAAAAAAAAAAAAAACTGGTGCGGGGAACCTCTAAACAATTCAACAGCAGACTTTATGACCATATCCTTGGTAGCCATCTGATCTTGTGCCTCGGAAACCAAGGTAACCAAAATTGAAAACCATTGAACACCCTCCTGTCTCATCACAATGCAGGCGACAAGGGGAACCCTCCCCCAAAATGGAAAGCGGCTGTATGCAGCGAAGACTTGGGGATGTATTTCGCCTTTCACGGCTTTGGAACGTACGAGAGCCTGCGCTTGACCATTGGTTTCGCAGCACTTCTTGCATTTGCGTGGGCTATCTGCGTTGCAACAGGTGTTCACATGCGAAATTGAAACACCATGTTGGACATGGCGGGCTTATGCAAATCAGTGACGGACTTGGATTGGTCCGTAGGATCTCGGACGCCATGAACATACATGCCAATCCTGTCACATATACAACTTATACAACAATAGCATCATCCATAAACACATCATGTCAAATTCAACGCAAGTGCTATCTGACATTCGTCGGTGCTCTCGCAGGTGACCGACCCATGTCGCGCGGCCCAAATCCATGCTCCAGGTCCTTGCTCACACCTAGCCTTAGTTCTTTCCCCCCCCAGCCTTGGACTATCCATTCTTCCATCAAACCACCCAGCCATCCACCCAGCTATCTGTCTATCGATCATCTATTAACCTGCTCCATCTATATGCCTACCTGTGCACCTATCTATCTACCTGCCAATCTATCTACCTGCCTATCTATCTATGTAATTGTCCTCTCTCTGTCTGCTAGCTATTTGGTCGGCTATCTATCTCTCTATCTATATGCCTAATCTAGTCTACTTTGATCTGTCCTTGTATCTAAATTTCTATCCAATCTAGCTATCTATCCGTCTCTCTCTCTCTCTCTCTCCATCTATGTGTCTACCCATCTGTCCATCTTTCTGTCTTCCAACCTCTCTATTTGTTTGTCTGTCTATCGATCTATCTTTCACTCTCACCTCAGCTTCTATCTATCAATCTACCTAACCTAAATCTAATCTATCCATCCGCTACCTATTCCTCTATCTTCTGAAAGCGCCTCGCCTGCCAGGAAATCCGTACCTGATCTTGCGAACATGCTGCTGCACCTGTCCGCGCAGCAGCGCTGCGTGTTACGAAATCTGCACGCTATCTTGGAAAGCGCAGCGCCTGCGACAATATCGGCACCTGACAGTTTTCGAGCGCGCGTCCGTTGGGATTTGCAAACGGAGCGCTCCAACGTTGCGAGGGTGTTGCGCCCGTCACACAAACTCATGTGGCAATGACCGCGAACAACAGGCGTTGGGCTAGCGGTGGTTGGCACCTCCCCAGCACACGCGAAACCCGCACAGGGCGCTCACTTTGAGCACTTTCTATCCCACGCGCTGCGCCTGCCACACAATCTGAACGCTTTGGTTTGACATCATGCGCAACAGACTATAACCGTTCAAATTATTTTGGTCCAACATATCAATACCGGATATGAATATATATATATATACATATCGTACTTCATCTGCAACATATTATGGTTCGGAACATGTTCTAATTACCGTGTATGACTAGTCTCAGGCAAACAGGCTTAATAACACCATGTTTGCAACTACGTCTCAACATTCACACCATACATTCTCAAACAAGCAGAACTTCAACTCTTACCGGTGCCTGTTCCAATCCCAGTCAAACTCATGTGACAATCGTTCTGTCGGCACTCATATCTTTTTCATTCCTGGACAAATGGCAGACTGGATGTATCCTGCATCCTTCATTCACACACCAGGGTCTGGGTTGTGAACGAGGCAAAATTACCTGCATCTCCATGGCATCTCAAATGTGTCTTCGACAAGACGTCTTTTGAGAAGCCGCAGGAAACTTTGGAGTGCGGCACAGCACGTATGGGTCTTGCTGGTCAGATCTATTCTCGACGTTGCTCTGAGGTGGCACTGCAAATCACTCAAAGCCTTGTTGCCAATGGAGGTTTGCGCGCGCCGCTTGAATGTTTTGCTGGCAAAACCAGAGTGAATCCTTGACCTTGAGAAAAGTGACCCACAACGCTTCAACATGTCAAACCGGGGTGTGACCAAGTCGGCGCTGCTCTGCGGCATAGTCGGCCTGACAACCAGTGTGTGCAATGGACGGTTGCCAATAAGCTGACTCAAACGTTGAAGATGCGTAACAACTCGCAACTGTCTGGCCTGTCCGCCGCCTTGTGCCAGAGTGAAGACCCCATGCTGCCGCTGCCAAGTACGGTAATGCCTGCATGCCCAATCGCGGGGTTGGCAATCCGAAGTGCAACTGTCCTGGCTACTTTGACCGTATTTCTGGCTTTATGCCAGAAATCAAGAATGCACAACCCTAAGAGTCTGCAGTGCGCACAGCAAGTTTCCAAACAGATGCAGCTTCCAGCCTTACGCAGTCTTCCCAATTGACAGCGATGGCCATCACACATATGCAGGCCAACCACCTGAGCTCTGTTGCCGGAAGGTTACATAGGAAAGGGAGGTTTGGGCAACGTCGCTGACACAACAGTTGCACTTGAGGTTGCATAAAAAAAACCGTTGTTTTGAGAGCTACTTTCTTGGGGTTGTTGTTCTCTCAACTCCTCTTCGCTTTGCAACGTTTTGTCCTTTCTGTACAAACAACCTCGACATTGCGACCTTTTAGTACAAGCGTAGAGCACGAAGCTCATTTTGGCAGCTCCCGCTCGAAATTTCGCAACTTGTCTCCGCACAAACAGAGTACACGAAGTACACTTTTTGGCAGCTCCAGCTCGAAAATCGCAAGTTTTCCCTACAAGTGTAGCGAAGTACAGCAGGAGAATAATAGATTTACAATTGGGGGAGGGATCGCCGATTCCTACCTCAGCCCTCACCAATACAGTAGTTGCCACTTGGGCTAAGTTAAGATGTCTTGAGTGACCTTCCGGTTTACAGACCAGTCCAAGCCCTGCGTTCAAACAATTATTACTTACATCTCACCTCTCATCACTTTAACATAATTATCTTCTTGTCTGGGTTTGACTTCCAAGGCTATCCGCATCTCTTTTCTACATCAGAAATCTTTGGATTTTATATCTACTGCATCTGGCTGGTCTTTTCTCTTATCCTCTCTTTCAAGGATGTCTTTCCCCCTGGCAACTGCCGCGGGATCTAGAGAAGTGTGGATGGGTAAACATTGATGTCTTTTTTCTCTTTCCTTCTCTATCAGGCCTGCTCTATCTCTTTTCCAAGTTCTTCCAACTCTGTATCTGAGATTCTTGGGTGGGATCCGTGCCAGGCTGGCCGCTCGAGCCGTGTGACCTCATTCTGACGAAGGTCGCCGAGCCCCTCGTTCTGGTGCCACTTCGGCCTCCCGCGTGGCTCCAACAGCTTTCTCGCGAGGTTTCGCTGGCTTGGAGAAACTCAACTGGCCTTTTTCGGCGAAGGAACCGCGTCTATCTGCCCTGGATGCGGCGCGCGTGAATGCACTGGGGAAGGTGCCTTTCTGGCAGCTCCATCTCGAAATTTCGCAACTTTGCAGTACAAGTGCAGTACGCGAAGTGCACTTTGTCAGTGGCAGCTCCAGCTCGAAAATCTCAACTTGTCAGTACAAGTGTACTACACGAAATACACTTTGGCAGCAAAGGCAATTTGGACACAAGGGACCTCCGAATACTGAACTTAAATCAGCGGAGATTTATACAACCTCAATTATTGATTCTTGCTGCCATGTGATTTCAATCAACTACTCTGAAGATCTCTCAAGCATTTGTTCACAACAACTGTCCGCGGATCGCAGGAATCGCTTCTTTGTAATTGCCAAGGCTGGCAAAAATTAGTCTGAGCCCTGGACACGCTGGAAGCTGCTGCAACCGGCACCTCTGAGTTAGCAAAGACTCGTTGATCACTTGGCTGCAAACTGCAGATGCGTTGAAGAAGCGAGGCACGAGCTGCACATGTTTTCTTCGGTGAAGGCCGCACCAACGCACATCTAAGCAAAAACGTGCAACAGGCAGACTCTCTGCCCGGCCAAAAAACTGACTGCACATGGCGTGCGAATTCTCAGCGCAGTGCCACATCTTGCTCTAAGATTGGCCAGCGCTGTGCTATGCTGGTGCTGTCCTTGCCTACGAATAACGGATGGCTCACATTCGGAGCGGTGAAACATAAAGCCAAGGAATTATCCCCAAAAAACGGCCGATGGCCGAACTTTTGGTGCATGGCTGGTGGCCCGGGAAAGGGCTGGCTGCACCAAATGCAGAGACTCTAGTCACTGGCCACAATTGGCCACCAAGTCTCAATTCATCTCATCCTCGATCGACATGCTTGCCAAGGCACTGGTGGACCTGAGTGAAGGTGGATGCAGGGTATCTGCGACCTCTTTTCCTGCTGCATGCCGAGGTCAAGGCTTTGTCCATGTAGCTGGCGTTCATCCCTTTCAGTCGCCTTTTAGCGGCTCAATTCGCACTCTGACAAGTCTTCGTCAATCCCGAAGAACTGCGAATGCCTTGAACACAATTCTGACAATTCACGTGCCAGCCAGCATCTATATCCCTGTAGGAAAGGCAGATGAGTCAAAATCAAAGCCTGGCATAAAAATGGTTGACCCAGAACCATGTAAAGAATTAGAAAGGCGGCCGCAACTATTTCCGGCTGGGACTGCCCCTTACTAACCTTCATCTGCCCGGGTTTTGATTGTGGCTCAGATGATTTCAAGCTTCTGCAAACAAGCGACTGTCTTCTGGGTAGCAAAAAGAAACTGAAAGAGCGTGACTGAAGAAAGTCGGCTGTAACCTAGCCTGCTGATGCTGAGATTGCGTATGCAAGAAAACGACAAATGGAGACAATTTTTAGTACAGTACAGTTCGAACAAAATGTCAGGGTTCCAAGCCTGAGCTATGCCCCCTCGATTTAACAAAGCAGGCTTTGTGGTTGCGACACAAACGGTTGGACTCAATCACATTGAATGAACGCCCAAGTCTCAAGGGGGTTGCAAGTGCCAACAAAGCTGAGCCCCTTGCCCTTTCCAAACCTGTGTGCTTCGCCATCCCTTTGTCCAGCTATCCTCATGCTCGGCCTGCTGGGGAGCTTTGCTCCGAACCAAGCTGAAGGCTGTAGCCATGCACTTTGGTTGGAAGCTTCAGCCAGCTCTCAACTCTAGAATGCATGAAGCACCAGGCCTTGACAAGCACTTGGGCAAGACGTGCAGAACGCTCGGCTACCTGGAAGTGATCTCTGGATGTGCTTGAGATTGGTCCCCTGGCAGCTGATTGCAATTGGTGATCACGGATGCCAAGACTGCACAACAATGAACCTGGTAAGTCACCTTATGTTGGTACGTGGCATGCGGTTGCACAAGAAATCAACAGGTTTACATAGCCAATCACATGTATAATATACCCATTGTTTTCAAGTCACATTTTTGATTTCGTCTGAGGGGCTAGATGTTGGGAATTGATAAAGGTGCCTGTCACGGAGACCTCGCATCAACTTGTTGAGTCACTACTTACTTGTACCATGCCAAAGAGTAAACGGGACACAAGCAAGCTGGCCCTTGCTGTCCCATGGTACCAGCCTACAAGGAATGGATGCGAAAGGAGCGCGCAGTCCTTCACGGCCAATGGAGATTCACATGGAGCACTTCAGTTTCACTATGAATGTGTGCAGTACTGTCTGCTTGAATTCACCCTCCAAGGTGCGCCTCCAATGTGTGGTGAAGGTGATGATAGCAACTTGGCGCAAAGCGTTTCTGCATGACAAACGTCCGAGGTCTTTCTGAAACTGCTGACAGCTAGCTGAGACTCTGGCAGTTGCTCTCATCTCCTCCTTGGACATGCCCCAGTCACCTCTGCTCTTCTCAGGGTTGCAGGTGTGAGCTTGGTAAACTATGCCTTGTTATTCTGAGTATGGTGTAGATCTACTTTCCCGTCAGTCTCGCTTAAAGCGCGAACAAAAAGCTGGAGATTCTGCAAGCCAATGCGGACTGCGACCCAAAGCAAACTGCCAGTTGCTCGGTGCAGCCAGCCTCCAGCAGCCTTCGCGCCAAGACCAGGTGGAATTTGACCTCTCCAATCCTGGCATCTCGCTGGCAACAAGCCTGCAACTGGCAACTGGGTTGACCACCACTTACAGTGACAGACTCAGTTGAGTTGAACACTGTTATCGGCCTTGCCGTTTATTGCAGTGCATTCATTGAAAATGCTTGCTCCCTGCATGGATGTCCCTCCCAAATCTTTGTCCCCGACCAAAAGATTTGCCCCCTTCTTGTTCTCCCCTCGAACGTGCTTGCGCTTCATTCATGTTCGAGGCCAGCTGCCTTCGTCCCGCGCAAGGGCTGCACACTCGGAGCCTTGGGACGTGATTGGCGTGCTCCCCCAGCTCCAAGAGTCTGTCACAGCTTCGCCAAGGCGAAAAAGAATGATGCACCGAGAAAAGCCGCCACACCAAAACAGCATTGAAAACCATTGACGAGTGTTTATAAACAAATTCTGAGGCTTGTGCAGATTGAGCTCGCCCAAGCTCTCCTCTGGCTTGGAGTTGTTGTGGCGAATGAACACAAGTTGGGATCTTGTTGCGTGCAGATTCCTCTCTGGGCCCAAAGTCCCTGTACGATGCACATGCCACGCGCAATCTGGTGCGGCGCTGCCAACGCAATGAGTTGTTGGTTTGCAAGCGTGACGCCAAGTCTCTAGGCAATCGGAAGGGCACGGCAACCGCAGCGGCACCAGCATCGATTTCAAACCTTGCTGCTTTTTCCAGTGACAAGCGCCAGCTCACACGCATCACATAGGATGGGAATAACCAACTGCACAATACCAAGGCAGCCATCCTTTCTCCCAAAATACGTCAACTGTGTGCACCCACCCCAATTTGGTTGCAGCCATTCCAAACATCGCCCGGGCATCGAAGCATCATGCCAACTACAAGGGCTGCACACGACTAAGGCTCTGGCATCGACCGCCACCGCACTAGTCAGCTGCTTTGCAGCCGAAGAAAAACGGGCCAAAGCCGCAAAACTTGATCTAACCTTGCGGTCCTCCGAAATCCCATCTAGGTCCTAAGGTCTTGAAGAGTGACATGCTGACATGTGGTGACCACATTTCATGCTCTATTTAAAGTTGGTACGAAAGTTTGCAGAATGCGTGGTGCTGGAGTTGCAATCCTGCAACACGGATCAATGCTTTCGCTCACTTCCGTGTCAGCGTATCCTTTCGAACCCAGCTGCGGGTGCCCAAGGTCCCAAGGTTCACACCATGTTTGCTGCATAACGGACCACCGCTCAGTTTTCACAAGGCAGGATATCACATCAGCTTAAGCCCAAACAAGATGGCCCAAAACGAGGGACACCGCTCCGCTACAAGCAGGGCCCCCTCAAACAGTCATTCTTGGTGGTGTCAGTCCAACGACCTGGCATGCCCATCTACATGCTATTTGGCTGTGGGTCAAAACCAATGGTACCCTTTTGGGGTAGGTGCACCACCCATTTTTGTCTATTTTAGTGGGGATTGGGATGTTCACTTGCAGTACGGGATTTTGACCCATGGCCATTTCAAAGAGACAGGAATGGCAGCTCTGAGCCGGGCACCCAGGTGCAGTCTGGGCAAAACCCGTGTTTGAAGGTGCACAAAGTATTGGCGGCATACCTGGGGCAAAGGTGCGACTGCACATCCGACCTCACGAAGTTTGCCTTTCTCAGCAGATCCAGTTGGAAAGGGGAGTACGATTGCTAAAGCTGTATCCAACTGACGTCCTTACTGGCACAGCTGACAAGGCTCTCTGCTGACACGGAAACCTGGTGCAAGTAACTCGCACACACTGTTTTATCCACAGACGCTGGCTGCCAGAACTGGTAACCTTCTAGCCAGCGACTTCGCCTGATACCAGGATTGACTGGCATTCACATAGGCCGTACTTTGTCCACTCCCTTGCATTTCATACATTGACCATGTGCACTAGACAAATACCTGACCTTGGATGTCTCACCAAAATAGCAAGCGAGGCTTCGACATCTCCTCGATGAGCTCCGCTGGGAACTTTGAGATCTTCAAAAAACCTCAGCTAACCCTAGCTCAGCAGCTCCATCCAGCCTTGTCAAAAAGTGCTGGTTAGGAGTTCGGAAGCATCTCTAAGACTTTAAGTATTCTCGAGCATGTTGCTAGCCAACCACTGCCAGGACGCTGATGTTTGCTTCATTCACCAGGAATCGCCCACCTGCTGAACGCATCAGGGACTAAGTCACCCTCACAGCATGCTTGTATTGCGCGCGCAACAACAATGCGTTACTCTCGCAGCCTGCTACAAAAATATCGATCCGAATGTGGTCAGTACCCCGCGCAATGTGCTCCACAGTCTGCACCAGCTGGCGCCAGACCTCCAAGGATAAGAATGCAAAAATTCGGTCCAGCGTTCAGCCACACACACACAGTCTGTCTACAGCTTCGCGGTTGACAAACTTGTCTCCAGCATTCTGCAGCCTGATTGGACAAAGGGACTGGCTCAGCACAGTCCAGGCAGCTGCCATCGCGGAAAATGTAACCTGTTCATGACAACCGAGCATTAATCAAGGTCTTTCTCATGTGTTCTTTGAGCAACAAATGTTTGAGTGTCTGTGTGTAGGCGTGCGTGTGTGTGTGTGTGTGTGGCTGTGTGTAGGTGTATCTGTGTTTGTCTTTCTGGGTGCTTGCTTTTTTGTCTGTGTCTGTGTGATTGCTCGCTTCGTCGGGTTGCGTTGTATGTTGGCGCGCTGTTCTTCTGCATGCACGTGCTTCTGTTTTTGTGTTGGTGTGCTGGCAGGTTTCTGCACTGTACGCTTATGTGTTGGTGCGGCATCATTGTGCGTTTCTCCTGTGCTGGTTTGCTACGGTGGTCTTTGTGCCTGTCTGTGCCTGTGCCTAGCCAACCTCTCTTCCCCTGAAAATAAGTTGCAGCCGCGAAGCCCAGCGATGCAAAGTTTGGAATGCCGCAGGCCTGGAGGGAAGCTGCCGCCGAAAGGGCAAAGAGTCTGCAGCAACAAAGGGTCATGCAAAACAGGGTTTGAGTCTAGTATGCTACAAAGAAAGTTGTGTTTGAGAAAATGGGTGGTGCGCTTATTGGTTTTGAACCATGGCCATATAATGACCGGAAAGCGCATGATCTGCTTCTTTGTGCCTTGTGGCCCATCGCTGCTTGGGCTCGATTCCCATGAAGATTTGCATCGTCAAAATGCGCCCGGCCCTCTGATCCAGAGGACATGTTCCTTGGATTCACATGGCTGCGGGTCAAAAATGCGTACCCAAGATGGAACTCTGGTAAATACTAAAACATGCGGTCCCCTGGTGGTTTTATTTTGACCCATACCCACATTCATTAAGCTGCAGTTTCCATGCCTGGCATTGTCGCCAAGTTTCTTTACATATGTCCACTCGCAAAAGAGCAGCTTGCCCCAGAATGTCTGGCATTTCCTTGGCCACTGCAGTATTCCGTATGTCTCGGAATTGCACGTTTTTCAACAGTACGAGGCAAACCAATTGGTAATGTTGTGCATATTAATAAGCAAACCTTACGATCGAAACAATAATCATATCCATCATCCTTCCAATCCTTCATACAATGAGCGAGCCATTGCTCTTGTCAACCGTGGGTAAACTACTTGAGGTTGTGCAAGAAGGCTCCACGAAAAAGAAAAACTCACTAGAGCCGTCTGGTTACATCTCATCAGGCGTGCCAAGTCGGTTGTCTGCTTCCACCAGCTCCTGCTCATTCAGGCTAGCTCAGCAAACGGAAACAAGGGACGTGCATCTACGACATGCATCCACATCTCACACACACACATAATATGTATAATGGATGAATGCCGCCTCCACAATCACTCCGGGGCGTGTAGATTCTGTCGCCCAGTCGTCCAAGTGCCTGACCGCCGGCATTGTAAACTCACCCAAGTGATTCGTTTCGGAGCTAAGTAGCTCGTAAACATAAGTTATGCAAACACCCATCAATGTACCGATGGCATGCTTGACTCAATCTGTACTCCAAAACATTTTCAGATTTACAAGAACATCCAACATCTCGTCTCAGAAAATCACTGCAGGAACCAAAGGCATGCCTGATGATGTTGCAACTTGATGCATGACCAACTCAACAGGCCTGTCGTTCCATGCTTGACGGAGGCCAGATTCAATTTCTTCCATCGCCACCTCCTGGTTGCTCACCAGGTTCTTACCATCTTTCATCACATACCTTTGGTGCAAAGGAGCACAAAAACTGGAAGTTCCATCAAACATTCAAATCTGCCAATCAACGACTCATGATCCCAAACAGCCGGTGAGCAGCTGACTGTGCACGTGCTTAATTCATCAAAGGCACACATAGCTTGTTGCTGCCAAGTGGGTAGGCTTGACAACATATTGCTGCCCTGGGATAGTCTGCAAAACCGACAGCCTGCAGGTGCGGCGAAATGTGTGCGACAAAGAAGCGACCATAACAAGGTATATGGCCAGGCAATGTTCATTGGTGTGGCACCACACAAAGCGGCTGTAGACTGCAAACAGGCAGCACTTCTGGTGACTCGCTCGACAAGTGGAAGATCTTTGGTATTGGAATCCTTGGAGTGCAGCACAGGTGTCTCTTCTTTTTGGGGGACCCCAAAGATTGTTGTTGTTGTCCTTTAGTTTCCCTTCGAAAACCCACCAAAACAGGGGTACCCTCAAAAAACAAAATGGATCCAAGGTTCCCTTCCTCCAGCATCCATGTTTTGAACTGGATCTTGTCAGAGAAGCGATGCAACCCACTCTGCTCGCTGTCCTGGCTGGATGACATGGTGCCCGCGCTTCCGAAACTGACAACTGGGTCCGGGGAAAGCTGCCTAGAAGTTGGACGCACCCTCCACGCCACTCAGCATCAAAGGAACGTGCGGTTTTATGTCCTCGCGCTGTCTCATCAAGTCATAGAGTCCCATTTCAGCATGCACGCCATCCTTGCCGATGGTAGGGTTCATGCTGGCTATGTACGCAAATGACAAGATACATATTGTGAAATCAAACCCGCGCAAAGGGCCGAGTTTCCGAGATGTCAAAGTCTGGCAGCAAATCTGGCTCTTCCAGCTCCTGCAATCAGAATTAGCCTCCAATTTCAGTATTGGAGTTTTTTGAGACATTGTCGTAGAGAAGCTGGAGACTAAAGCAACTCTCAGGCTAAACCTCAAAGCTGCTGTCTGCTGTCTTATGGCCAGGGCTACACGCCCTAAGGAGGGCATGCACTCCTCCATCGAGACCCGCCTGCAGGGGGTCCAACGAGCTCAGGTTGGCCGTGCAGGGATTTGAGGTTGCCATGGTTCTTTCTTTCTTTATTTATGTATTTATTTCTCTTTCTTGCTTTCTCTCTCTCTCTCTCTCTCGCTCTCTGAGACTTTGAGTTCCCTGTCTTTGCCCAATGTGAATTACGAGTTGGTGTGTAGCAATCAGAATGCTTGAGAAGGAAAAATGAGCGCTAGCGGGGAAGTCAGCGGGGAGAAGAGCTGGGAGAAGAGAGGGAAAACCAGCAAAGAGCAAGAAGAGCAACAAGAGGAGCCGTAGAGCAAAACAAAAACAGAGCAACGAGCGGAGCGAGGCAAATAGTGTTGGGATGTTTTGGGTGTTTGGGGGCGTCAACGAGGAAACATCTGGACGAAGCGGGGTACTGAGCGGACAGAACAGCGAGTAGCTGAGTCGAAAAAACAGGCGTGAGAAGAGCGGGTGACAAGCGCGGGAAGAAATATGCAGAGAATTGCAAGAAGGGGAGCGTGAAAAGTGCGGAATCTCCTCATATCTCAACAAAAGGATGGAACAAAGTGTGAGGAGGACAGCAGGGCCAGGAAATGTAGTAGGGAATGCCGGGAACAGAGAGGAGCATGAGAAAAATGGCGCCCAAACAATTGCAAAGGACGAGAAGAGCGGGGAGCGGTCAGCACGAAAGCTGGGAGAAAGCTGGAATTCGAGCGGAAAAATAGTGAGCAGCGGGTAAGGGGGAGGAGGACTTTTGACCCTGCTAGCTGTTGCAGTAGCTGTCCTTCCTGATGACTTTTGATGTGTTCTAATGGTTGCGCGTATTGTCAAATACCCTTCCTTTAAATATTGGTCGGCCAAGACTTTCTGGGTGTTCATGTGACAGGATTCTTGCCCGGCCTTGCACTCTGCGAACATCTGTGCAGCGAAGGCCTTGGTGCTGCCACGGCCCATGCTGTGATTCTGACTGTTCCCTTCAGTCTGCAAGATGGATACAGCGTCATTGCCAGGTACAACTTCAGAGAGTCCGCTTTCTTGCAATGCTCGTGGGGATGTGGCCCACGTCACGCCAGCCACTCGGAATCAACGCTTTGCACCTGTGAGACGTTTATTCCTTGCCAGGTGACGGGCCTCGCTGCATCAAGCGAAGCCAGGAATTGTCTGCAGCCATCGGTAAGCCCGCCTCATCATCTATGGCAACCAATATGAACACTTGGTGCAGTCACAAACACATTCCAAAAGTGGCGGCATAAGCGTCGCTGCTTTCAATTTGTTGCATACCTGACGTTCTTCAGCAAGCCCCGCCTGACGTTTGACAGGGAAAAGTCGATGCCAAGGCAATCGGCAGGGCACCCAGGGTGCCAGTGGAAGGACAAATCCAGCCTCCTGAAGCAAGCTGTGCAAGCAAAAGAAAATGCTGCAAGGGGACAGCGCAACATCTCCGCAAACGCTTCGGATCCAAGCATCCTTCAAGTAGAAGTACAGAGAAATGTAAACCTTAGCCAGTTTGCGCATAGCTGCTGGCAGGAAGCAACATCATACGCGCAGGCGCGGTCAATAGCCATTGTGCCCGAAAGTTTGAGAGCTCGGTGAGCAGTGACCGTTTGAGTATGCCCCGTGTCAGTGGATGAGGGGATGATACGTGGTGCCATCTGCGCTTGGGGAAAAAACACCTGCAAGTCTAGTAAGCTGTGAACCACAAAAGCTTCTGATAGTTTCGATGGACTGTTTCAAACCATCAAGCCCTACTGTACATTGCGCCACAATTATTTGACGAAGCCACGCACTCTTGGCAGAAGGTGCGGAACGCAACATCAGCACGCGGGCTGAAGCGATAGGGTTCTTCTCCAACTTGCCACAAGCCTGCGTGCTGCGGGTTTTGAGGAGCAACTGCCAAATCTCTACAGCGTTGCCACCACTATGATTGCTGGGCACAGCTCGCCTGGTGTCACCTTCACCAACCGCCATGGACCTTGCAGCTCACGCTGAAGATTTGCTTCAAGGGATGTCTCCAAATGCCTCAGAGTTGTTTGTCGGTGTATGTTGTCAAGGAGCAGTTTGGCATGAACAGCGTGCTTTGCGCCTTCAGACAAAATATCAAGTCTAGGCAAGTTGCTCCTCTAAAGGCTTGTCCAGCACCTCCAAAAATATTGATTGCAGCGCACTATGTCGCGGGAGACCGGCAGAGGCATCTGCAAAAGGCAAACACAACAAGCATGTACGAGGAGGGTTGGTCTGCCACGATAGGACCCTTTCACCAATGCCCACGTCTTGGACTGTGAGCACTTTAGCCTGCCTCCAGGAAGGATAACGTGGCCAATCCCATGTCTTTCAAGAGATTGCGACACGATGCTAAGTGCGTCCTGCGTCAGTCTTTTAATTGTGATGGCCAACTGGCAAAATCACCTGCACTGCGTTTGGCCACATCTTGAAAAAAGGTCCGCTGGCTTCACTGGTCAGAGTTGTGTTTCGTGTAAAACTTCTTGATTGACAAGATTTCAAACATGGCCTTGCCACATGTACTACAAGAATCTCAAAGAACCTGTGTCATGCTTTGCCCTTGCATCCTGATACAAGTCAAATGGCGATTCCACCCCAATGCGGGCGCTTCGCAGCATTCCGGTGTGGAAGGGGAAAGGTGACAATCTCATCATTGGTATGTTCAATGCAAACCTCAGCTCACTAAACGAGTCGACAAGTGCTCGAAAAGCCGGTGTCTGTCATTACGTGCACTTTGCGGGCAACTTTTGAGCATGCCTCTCATCACACACACAATATCCTCCAGCCCTACCCAGGAGCAAATTGTCAGCATCTCCCGCAACTCGCTTGAAGGTACTGTGCATGACAAGGATTGGACGATCGTCGTGATATACACGATAGATCTGCGGATCTGTCTGAGGGGCAGTGCCAGATTGCCCATTCCTTGGCTAAATTGACTGAAGGTGCGCGCCTAACCATCCTGCAACATCTGTGCGAGGCTGAGATGATGCCGTTGCACATGTTGTCCTGTTGCAGCGACCACCATCAGGAACACAAAAGCAAATGGAAGCAACAACAACACCTGAAGGCTCGCGCGTTACCAGACTCACTTGCTTCCTCAAGGCTTGCTCTGTGGGATTCCGACATTGTCTTCCAAAACCGTCAAGTCTACGTGGTTGATATTCCGGAGGGTTGCGCATCCACATTTAACCTCACTGTACACTTCAACAACGGATTCCTTTTGGGTATGGTACCCTAGTAAGCGTTGCTTTGCCCGCTCGAGTTCTGCTGTCAAAAGCTGTCCGAATTCAAAGAGGATCAGGATTCAGGCTAGCCGCTAGCCCCATGTTGGTCATACAAAATTTGTGGTTTCCCGTTTGTCTCCTTTAAAACTAAGACACCTCTTCTGGAAACCAAAACCGCTAATGTTGGGCCAGCATCAAGGCCAGCAAGGCGGCCAGCTGCGCATGGCCGCAGCCGATCCTGGACATTCGGCTAGAGCGCAGGGCCTGCATGCGTTGCAGCGAGGATCGACTGACGGTGACGCCGAGTTTGTTTTGTGACTGTCGCGCAATGCCCAAAGGCGTGCTCTGGACACAAGGAATCGCCATCCTGACTGTGTGTGTGCTGGTGGGTTCAGCGCGACACTTGCCAAGATACAAAATGGAGAAGCAACAAGAGCTTTGGTCGATTGGCCAGCGCAGGGCGGCACTGGTCAATAAGGACTCTCTCTCTCCTCTTGCAGATCCAACCTGCACCAAGATTTTCCATGCACAATGAGGCATGAGTCCGGCACGAGTTAATACGAGGTGCATGTAAACTGTGCAACATCACTGTGATTCTCCTCGATTCTCTGACCTTGATTTTGAGTGGTGACGCACTGACGTGGATGGAAACCCAGTTCACGATTTCTCCTCAGTCACTTCCATGACCTCCTCAGTCACCTGCAGCGGCTCCCAGCCTTGCTCAAAGTGCCTCTCCACTGCCTGGTCCCATCCGTTTTCCTCAGAGCTTCGAGCTTTGCAAGATCTCTTTAAACTTCTGAAGTTTCGACTCTCGCTCATCTTTGAAGAAGATGCGACATGTTTCCGCATTTCCCCCTGCTTTGGCGGCAGCAAACATAGCGGATGATGCCTTCCGCAAAGCCGGCTTCCATGCTGTACTTGAAGCCTCCAATCTCATTCTGAATGGGTTGAGCCACAGCTGTAATCAGCTTGATATCACTCATCCCTCCAAACAGAAGATCGCCATCGCCCAAAGCAGCACACACAAAGTACTGACCTTCTGGCGCCCGTCGTGCCCAGACTCGACGCTTGTCAATGAGAAGCGGTGCCCTCAGTGCAAGCTGCGGACAGAGTCCTTCACCTCAACGATGCTTATTGGGATGTCCTTCTCTTGGATGCGGACGATTTCGAGGCTTGTGGCGCCTTTCGTTTTGGCTTTGCTGACATTGATGCCTCCACCTGTGTCCTTGATCTCGATGCCAGTTCACGTCGAGATAGGATCTCGATCAACGCCAACCTTGCGGGGTTGTTTTCCCGCCCCAAACACCCAACGCTGAGCTGAAATCTGTGGAGGTCTGGGAACTTGAGAGTCTTCTTCTTCCCATTCTCATCTGTGATCAGCTGAACAGTATCAGTCTCACGCACTGAGATTGCAGATTCATTGCGCTCTGCGCAAAGTACTTGCCATCATGGCCTCCACAGGAAATGCCGCAGGTCGACTCCCAATGGCGCCGCTGTTGGGGTGCGGCATTTGTGAACACATTCTCCCGTCCGCACGCGCACGGCGTGGGAATCCAAATCCACTGCAAAGCAGGTTAATGCATACTCCTCTGTCGGGGAGAACTCCAGATATGTCACACGTCGTGGACGAGGCGGATCTTCTTCGTGAACTCGTGGCCCACGGTTGACCAATGCACCTGCCAATTGCACTACATTCTTCCGTTGAACTTCTCTCTCTGCAAGCCATAGCAAAAAGCAGGTTCGCCTGTGCTAGTGTCGGGCCAGTTCTCCGTCTCTGTCTGATATCGACGAGAGTATGAGACAGACTTTCCGTTGAGGCCCTTTTACCCATCTTCACTGTCAGTGATTCGGTTGGAATCATCAAACTTTGCTCGAGGCAAGCAGCCTGGACATTCCGCACGCCACGTTCTCCAAAATACGTTCTTGAGCCAAAGGAAGGCTGGCCGGGTTGGCATAAAGACATGTGTTGAGATTGCCTGCCAGCTAACTGTTTTGGAGTCCTTGCAAAATCCAGTGCGGTTTCCAGCTGACTGCGTTAGTCATTGCAAACTCTAGCGCGGTCCGCGAGGGGGCCGCGCCTTGAGCTCGATCGAAATGTGATGAACTAGATCTGCGCTGAACCTTGCCAACTGCACCGGGTTGCGCGCACAACTTGACAAACGTGCAGCATGCCTGCAAGCCGGAAGCGAAGTGAGTTCCAGGGCAACCAAACGCAAGACTTACCACCTTCCAACTCAACACTCAACAAAATTCAAGCACGTTGATTGCCCAAGTGAACCATGGACTGCTCACTAATCTAGTCGCCCAGCGGCCAGCACGGCAAACCTTGGGCCGTGCAGGAGCTGCAAAGCAGGTGCAGCAACTGGGAAGCCGTCTGACAGCCCAAAAACTCCAGGGCTCGCCTTGGTGACAGGCTGCCAAAGAATCTTGCCCCAGGAAAAGCAGGCGACCAAACGGCTAGTTCCAAATTGGGTATTTGCCTACCCACGTACGCCGAGCTGCGTGAGACGTTGCTTCCGAGGACATTGTTGTTTTTTTGCTAAACTGCTTCCGCCTGCTTCCGCGAGCATGTTGGCTACTGTTGCTTCTGCGGCCAGCGCGGTTGATTTTGGGCTTCAGTTAACGCATACACTGTCCGTTGAAAGCAATCTTGGTTGAAGACCTGATTTTCATTTTCCCAATAGTACGGCCACTACATGTGCTTCTCCATATTATGATTGCACACATTCATGTCCTGCTTCGAAGCTGCTGCGAAGCAAACCCTTCCGCAGGCCTTCTGAGACTGCAGTCTCACGCACCATGTTGCCAGAATAATGTCCACCCGCAAACGTGTACCGGGTAAAAAACACAAAACACACAGCTCAGTTGGAGGGGGCACAGTTTATTTGAAGCTTGATTGTTGCCATTCTAGCTCGCTATCAAAACCCGAGCTGGATATTGAACGGCCTTGTTTGGATTCAAGTCACTCGTCGCACGTCCAGGAATCATCCATCTCTGCTAGGTATGATAAGTCCTGCGCCTGCCGGGGTGCCATCTTGCAGGGAGCATTGCTTGGAGCTCCAAGGGATTACCTTCTGGGGGCCCTTCTGGACCAATATTCCCACACCCATCGATGCTAAATGCGCAGTGGCAAGATGCGTGCACCCTGCACCTGTGCCGATCCAGTGCTCTGTTTAGAAGCAAGCACAATTCAACGTCCACACATGCCCACCTGGCGTAGGCTTTCAAAGGCTCCAGGATATTTCCAGGGCGGCCAAGGCGGCTGCAGCACAAGCTTGGCGGGAAGCATGGCCGACCTCAAATATGTTTTGTGGTATTCGCAGGTCTCGCAGTCTTTCAACAGTCGCATTGCTAGGGTGCCTTTCCGAAAGACAGGAAGCACTGAGCAAATGGCCAGTGATCCAGCACGGCGCTTCCTGTCGCGTGTCTTGCACAGAACCACAAGCAGTTTGCTCCACACGATCAAACCTTCGAACCCTTTGATACAGGCGCTCAGCCCATCCTGTTTGCAGGTCCCAAGCCAGGATCAGGAAGTGGGCAGTGCCATCCGGCTTGAAGCGAACAATCATGTCATCGAATTCTGAAGCTCCTGCAGTGCAAGTCCCTGTTGCCAGTCTGCATGCCTCTTGTGGCTGCAACTCCAGGTGAATTTCAGGCGGATGCAGGGGGTGGTGAGGTGACATCACAACGTGCGGTATCTGTCCTGAGGCGCACAGGGCCAGCATTGTAACAGCAAAACCTTCTGGGCAGCTGTTGGCACTCTCTGCATCGAAGTGCGCCAAAGCCTGTCATGCCAGCGCTGCGAAGAAAGCACACACACCTCTAAGCCCAACACGGAACTTCATATGTCATTTTGTCACTGGAAATGCTGAGACTCGCATGCGGGCAATAGGATCTTGCTTGAGCCTGGAGCACCGCATCTCTGGCCAACGAGCGCGACACTTCATTGCAAAGGATTCTGAGATACCTCGCCATCGGCTGCGAGCAAAACATGATCTGGCTCTCAGCCTTCGGCCAGTTGAATTCCGGGCAGCATGTGTTTGCATTTTCGAACATGCGCTAATCAATGCGACAAAGAAGCAATTAACCAAAGAGGGCAGACATCCAAAGGCACTACGCAACACACATAAAACCCTAGCAAACAACGGAACAGCGCACAAAATGGGTCTGTCTTTTTGGGGTGCTGAACCCACTTTTGGTCTGGTTAAAAAGGGTAGGCCCCTTAAGAGACATACCCAAATTGGGTTGATCAAAAGGTCCTTTACATGGGATGACCCTGGAAGGAAACATGAAGGAAACCACACAAAACATCCTACTTCCCGCTACCCTCCCACCAGCTAACATGGAAGTGCTACTTTCCTCTTGGAAAGGGCCTTTTTGCACTTCCATGTTAGGTTGGTTGGTTGGTTGGTTCGTGGCCAGCGCATGTTAGCGAGGCCAGGCCCGCGCTTCCCCCCCGGCCGAAGCTTGGGGTTCAAGCCGGCCGGAAACTAGATGCAGCCAAGACACAGGCCACACCATGGGCGAGCGGGTCAACCCAAGGGGCCACGCAAGGGCCAAGACAGGAAGCGCAGGAAGGCCACGAGAAGGCCACAGAAGGCCATGACGGGGCCGAGACGGGAAGCAAGGTAAGCAAGGTAAGGCCACGCAGGGCCAAACATGCCATGCGGGGCCGCAGAAGGTTGCGCAGGGCCCAAGACAGAGAGAGCAAAGGCCACGCGAAGGCGACAGAGGGTCGGAGCAAAAAGAGGAAGCAGAGAAAGGCAAAGTATGGCCACACGGGGGCCGAAGAAGGCCATGCAGGGGCCAAGACAAAAGTCCCGCAAGGGTCCAGCAGCCAAAGACGGAAGGAAAGTAAGCAAGACCCGCAGGGGCCACGGCCACGCAAGGGCCAAAGACAGGAAGCAAAGAGAGCAAGTAAGGCCACGCAAGGGCTACAGAAAGCCACGCAGGGGCCAAGACAGGGTTCAAAGTAGGCGAAGCAAGGCCATGCGGGGGCCACAGAAGCTCACGCAAGGGCCAAGACAGGAAGCAAAGTGAGCAAAGTAAGGCCACGTGGCGGCCACGGAGGGCCACGCGTGGGCAAAGGGCAAAGTGAGCAAAGTAAGGCCAAGCGGCGGCCACGGAAGGCCACGCAGGGGCCAAGACAGGAAGCAACGTGAGCAAAGTAAAGCCACGCGGCGGCCACGGAAGGCCACGCAGGGGCCATGACAGGAAGCAAAGTAAGCGAAGCAAGGACACGCGGGGCCACAGAGGGCCACGCAGGGGCCAAGACGGCAAGCAAAAAAGTGAGCAAAGTAAGTCCACGCGGCGGCAAAGTCAGGCCACTCGGCGGCCACGGAAGCTCACACAGGGGCCAGGACGGGAAGCAAAGTAATTAGGCGAAGCAAGGCAACGCGGGGCGGCCAAGACAGCAAGCAAAGTAGGCAAAGTAAGGCCACGCTGCGGCCACGAAAGGCCACGCAGGGATGACAGGAAGCAAAGTAGGCGAAGCAAGGCCACGCGGCGGCCATGGAAGGCCACGCAGGGGCCAAGACAGGAAGCAAAGTAGAAAGTGAGCAAAGTAAGGCCACGCGGCGGTCACGGAAGGCCACGCATGACAGGAAGCAAAGTAGGCAAAGCAAGGCCACGCGACAGGAAGCAAAGTAGGCGAAGCAAGGCCACGCGAGGGCCACACAAAACCACGCAGGGGTCATGACAGGAAGCCAAGTAGGTGAAGCAAGGCCACGCGGGGGCCACGGAATGCCACGCAGGGGTCATGACAGGAAGCAAAGTGGGTGAAGCAAGGCCACGCAGGGGCCATGACAAAAAGCAAAGTAGGTGAAGCAAGGCCACGCGGGGGCCACGGAATGCTACGCAGGGGCCATGACAGGAAGCAAGGTAGGTGAAGCAAGGCCACGCGGGGGCCACGGAAGGCCACGCAGGGGCCATGACAGGAAGCAAGGTAGGTGAAGCAAGGCCACGCGGGGGCCACGGAAGGCCACGCAACGCAGGGGCAATGACAGTAAGCAAAGTGGGTGAAGCAAGGCCACGCGGGGGCCACGGGGGGCCATGACAGGAAGTAGGTGAAGTGGGTGAAGCAAGGCCACGCAGGGGCCACGGAATGCCACGCAGGGGCCATGACAGGAAGCAAAGTAGGTGAAGCAAGGCCACGCGGGGGCCACGGAAGGCCACGCAGGGGCCATGACAGGAAGTAGGTGAAGTGGGTGAAGCAAGGCCACGCGGGGGCCACGGAATGCCACGCAGGGGCCATGACAGGAAGCAAAGTAGGTGAAGCAAGGCCACAGAAGGCCGCAGAAGGCTGAGAATGAGGGAAGGTAGGCACTGTCGCCCTGACGTCTGGGAGGCCAGGGGAGGGGGTGCTCGTCGGGAAGAATCCCTTAGTGCCGCCGCCGGGGGTCCTCGCCTCCGCGAAGAACGCCAACCCACTGAAGCAACGTCAGGCCCCGGGAAACACTTCCATGTTAGTTGGTGGGAGGGTATATCTACAACTTTCATTATCATTCCAAAAGCTGAACTAAGAATTGGATCCCAAGTACAGGACCTTTATGGTGAGCTCGCGATCCCAGTACATGGGCATAGATCAAATTTAAACCACCAGAGGACCGCAGGTTTTAGTCCATGTTGCCAGGGCAACCCATTTAGGGGCTACCCTATTTTTGACCCACACCCACATGGGAAAAGTTGCCGCTGATCCACCCCAAGTTGTTACACCAACCGCACTGCCAGGCCGCAGCTGCCAGTCCAGTGCCCGGAGGCGGCCTTGGGCACAGCCGGCAGGCAGTGGCCCTGCCGCGCAGTCCTGGGAGGGGAGCTCCTGGCCGTCCAGGAGCGAAAATCGGAGAACCTGCAAGAAACCAAAACTCCAACAACTTCCAAGGTTGACAAAAAGGGTCAAGGTGAAAAAACAAAGGTGCCAAGGTGAAAAAACAGCCGGGCGAATCCCCAAGACCCTAGAGAACCAAAGAACCTGTGAATCTCAGCTTTGCAACTTTGGCAGTGCTCACTTTCAACGGCTCGTCCTTGATTCCTGGAGCTAGTGAGGCGACCAGCGCGAGTGCGAGCCCAAACCTGGCTGATTATGTGTTCTGCTTGTGGGCAGTTTCCATTCAAGGCCACAACGTGACCGCACTCACGTTCTCTAGGTGTCAAATCCCGGCACTGCCACTGTCCAAATGGCCATTCCTATTTATCACAAAGCCAGCAAGTTACACCTTGCCTTGGCATGTTGGCTGCATTGCCACGTCTGCGCAGCAAGCTATTTAAGCTTCTTGGGAGCTGAATGCTGCAGGGAGACACGCAGCACAAGAAGGCGAGGATGATGAACCTCTCCCTTCTCCACAATGCCATGCTGGCAAGCGTAAGTATGTAGCTGCCCGTGCCCCGAGATTACCTACTTGCATCATGATGACACAGTAAACCCGTGGGAAAGGATTCTTGACGAGAAGCTATGAGTTGGTTGCAGTTTAACAAGGCCCACATGCGACTTGCGGTCATCGTGCTGGGTCACATGCACAGGAAGGCCAACTGCAGCACGTAGACCCAGGCAAAGGTGTGGCGCCAAACCAGTCGTCTGAAAACCACCTGCAAAAGCACAAGATGCACAAGCTTGACACTGGAACATGCACCCTACCCTTGGAGCGACAATCGGTATGCTTGCGGAGAACATGGAAGAGGCCACACGAGGTACGAGTATCCTGTAGAAGGCATTGCGTGCAACAACATGTGAGCCATGTCGCTTGTTGGTCCCAGCTGGCATGAGCCAGTCGAATTGGATATAGAAATAGTGACAGGTGTTGTGTCTTATTTCGCAATTCGTGCAAGCTTCTCTTGTCTCATCTTGTCTGCTTGCAAAATGCGATGTGCCCACCCTCTCGACGATGGCCAAGGCTAATGCGGCAGAATGCACCTGGGCTGCAGTGCTCAACTTGACTGTATTACAATTATGTTATTCATAATATCTAGAAAGATTTGCTCAAATTCAAACAATATGCATCATTCAAGCCAAAGCTATTCAAGATAGGCATCCATTGCTTGAAACACCACCAATGATTCTGGCCTCTGTAGCTCGCAAATTTCGAGATTTCAGACCTCAACAGGCCTCCTCGGGAATTGGTGCGGTTTCCCGAAAGAACAGGCACAACCGATAGGCATCTCAATACCACAACCAATCGGCATCTCAACAATATCTTGTTGTTCATCTAGGAACAACAGCTGCCAAGATCAAACAATCAACTGCATCCCCACTTGAACCACTTGGGCAGCTGACAGACCACAGCAGCACCACTGGGATGTTAGACCTGCGCTGGCGGCTGGATGTGGCGGGCACTCTGGATCTTCCAATTGTAAGGATTGTAAGGGTTAGGTGCGCGGACCAGCCAGCTGGCGTGGCTCCTTCAAATTACAGTTCACCCCTGCTGCCTCAAGCACAACCGCTGCCAATGATGCCATCAAGCACAGCAACCGTTGCAACCCAACCGCCGCTCTCTTTTCAGTCGGCCCAAATGCAGCGCTTCAACCCACGCTGTTCCCCTAGCATAGGTTGGCTCGGCGCTCCTGAAGCCAGACCTTAAAGAAGCGGGAAACAGTCACTCAAGATTTCCAACATCGTGATCTTCGTTTGTTTTGCGAGTCAGCAGTCTCATTAGTGAAAGTTCCCTAACAAAGCAGGCTTGCACAAAGGCCCGGCCGAGATTCGATTTCCAAATGCAGTGCCAAGACTCACCTCGTGCATGAGATTTCGACTTGGCAGCTGGCGGGGCGAAAGATCTGCCCTTGGGGTCGTCTCAAAAGCCTCAGGCAGTGGATCAGCGAGTTGGCGTGGAAGGGCCGCGTCATCTACTCAAATCGATGGGCCAAAGTGGCAGGTGACCGGCAGGTGCTTTGCCATTTTAGTCAGCCGTTTGCATTTCTGTACGGTTCATACGTCCATTTTCGCGAGTGAGCGGCCTTCCAAATCCCGCACTCGGTCATGAAGAGTTGCAGCTCCCCGATGGCCTGGAAAGAGGGAAAACACCGGTGTACTTGCGCTCTCTCGCTCTCTCTCTCTCTCTGTTTTTCCTCTCCTTGTGCATATTTAACCCTGAACATGTGTGGTTCCACCAGGGGCGAGCCATGGTCCTGTGGAGCTCCGCAGGGCATCTCCCGACAAACCGGTCATGAGAATTTTCAAGCTTGGCATGTGAAGCAATCATAGCCTTTGCGCTGCTTCACGTAAGCCGCAGAAGCCACGGGCACCGCAAATGGCACGAGAACATTGGTGCCCCTGACTTTCCCTCCCCAAGGGAGCATAGACGGGATATATGGATCGAACATCAAGCCAGTCTGGCCTTGACGAGTTCCCCTGGATTCTGCTGGACCACCTGCGGAAAGCAGGGCTGCTTTGAGAAGCTTCCTCCCCGTTGAGTCCGAACCAGGCCAATCACAAACGACCGCTAAATTCTGCCTCCACGCCACGAACGGGACATTGACATGAGCTACTCGGTGCAGAAAGCAGGCCAAAAGATTCTGCTTGCCCTGCCTGGGCCAGAGGCTGCCCTCTCCTTGGCAAGCGATCTCGTCTATGAAGCAGCCAAAGGAGTGAAGGCCATGCCCCAAATTGCATCGAACGCTTCCTTGCCAGACCTTTGTCTGGGATGCGTTGAGGACAAATATGATGGCTCGCTCGCACACTCAAATCGTCAAGCAACTTGCTACGGCTTTACGCTTTCGGCAAAATAACCTAGCAAAGATGTCATCCCTCTTTGAGCTGCAACCTGCGCCAAGCAGCAGGGGACCAAACTGTAGGGTTTCCAGCGGATCGCAGCTCTGCAGGCAAGTCAGCGCCGGCACAGTCGGAGTGGCGGCGGAGACCTCTTGCGCAGTCAGCACGCTTGCCACAGGTCCTTGCAAGAAGCACTGGATGGCCCGCAACTTGAAAGATAATATCCCCAAAAACCTCCTCAGCAGCCAATACCATGCAATGCCCCGTCTCACTCTCTCCTGCAAACCTTCTGTTTCCTCCAACACTGTAGCTCTCCCCTTCTTTGCCAGGAAAGTCGCCTTCCACTTCCGATTTTTCGTGAGTTTTCGTGCGCTCTGGTCAGGGTCACTTGTGCCTTGGGACATCTTTTACATGGGTCTTGCAAGAGGAGTTGGGAAACTGCAAACATTGCGGGCAGCGAATGTAAACGCCTCCCATAAACCTGATGCCAAGCTGCTTCTGTCGACTGCACCGTCGCTTGAAGGAAAGCTGCCGCTATCGAGTGGAGCCTCGCGTCCTCACAAGCACAAATGCGCCCCCTCGTTCATCCATGTTTAGCAGCGGAGTGATGTCACTTGGTCGTGATCCCGCTTTCCAGCCCGGTTCCGTGCAAACCTTTGCGCACTCCACTCTGGATTTCCAAGCGTGCTGTGCAATGACGATGCAATAGGCGCAATCTTTCAGGACAGGTGCAGTATGGGAAGTCACTTTGGCAGCTACTCCAAAATCGCAACAGGTACACTTTCGCAGCTCCAATCGCAAATCGCAACTGTTCGTAACAAGTGTCGCACGCAAAGCACACTTTGGTAAGCTCCAGCGTGAACGTTACAACATTGCAGAAGTACACATCGGCAGCTTCAAAGTTCGGTACACACCCCCCCCCAATCGATGCAGTCTCTGATCTCGTTTTGAACTCATTTCGATCTCTATTTGTTTGGCACCAAAAAGCCTGATATTGGGCAAGTAAATGAGTCAAAGAGGCACTTCTTCGCCATGCAATGCCCATGATGCTCCTGACCATAAAACATATGGCCATGGGTCAAAACCCCGTACCCCCAGTGAACATCCCAATCCCCACTAAAATAGACCAAAAAGGGTGGTGCACCAAACCAAAACGCTACCATTGGTTTTAAACCATGGCCATATGCACATGGTTGAGATGTTGAAACATCTGAAGATACTAATATGGCATGGACATGCCAACCGCGAGAGAGAGAGAGAGAGAGAGAGAGAGAGCGCTGTCCCCCAGTGCAGCTTGGCGTCTTGCACGCTTGGCTTGTGGCTCACTGCAGCCTGCGCCCAAGTTTGAGGTGTTCGTTGTCCAAGGCTCTGAGGATCCGGCCTGCCAAATGCCCCCAGCGGCGCGAGGAAAGGCTGTAGCGTCCTGTCAATGGCATGTAAAAGCGCACGCCAATTTGATTGAACTGAGGCAGCGAACCAGGCTCAAGTGGCACACGCACACACACACAAACACTTTGTATCGTGTGATGCACGGGTCTGGAAGGCTGTTCTTGTGAATCAACCACACGTTTGTCAGTATCTGCAGCATTACTTGTCAGTTCCGGCCTTTCACTCCTTCATTGGCCAGCTTGTCTGCCAACTCCTCAAAACTCACGACTGCTTGATATTTCCTGAAACTTGTCTCAGGAATCATGCCAAAGTTGAAGCGAGCATCATTGCCCACGTCGCCAGTGTGACCCTGGACCCAGCATAGCTCCACTTCTCGCACTGCGACAACTTCCATCCACAAGTTCTGGACAGTCTTTGCCAGATCCTTGTTCTTGTGGGCCACATTCTCACCCGTCGTCACCTGCGAATGCCGCTGCGAGCGTCAAGATGGCTGGACGTTGACCCGCTGCAAATAAACAAGAGGCGTAATAATTTGGTGGGAAGCTATCGCTTTCTACCCACCCAGCCAAACAAACGTCACAACACACACACACATTCATACAATGCAATGGGTAATCTGCAACATCATGGGTAGCCTGGTGTGTCACTATAACAAGTTACGCCATGAGTCCAGCATCAAACAAGGGAATAAACCAGGCCGTGTCACGAAAAAGGTCAATTAGCCTGCACACCTTTTTCGACGTTGTGGACACACGCTTTTCAACACACATGCAACCGCAACTCGTAGCCATCGCTACAGAGCTTACCAAACGCGGCCACACAAAATGGCCATACGGTCATCTACGGCTGTTTGTCAACAATTTGTTGAAAAATATGGGCTGCATACGGCCAAATACGGCCACCGGCCAGCAAAAAAATATCATACGGGAAAAACGATCCAAAGACGGGTTCTGTCCGAAAACAAAATGGCCATACGGCTTTCCAGGGAGCTTTTGAAGTGAAATTGCATTTACATGGCGTAACCATCAATCAGTTGGACTGCAATGTCGGCGGCGTGAGCCAGGAGCAGAACACGTTGACATCGTCACAAGCCTTCTTGGCATACTGTGAGTCGTAGTACAGCACAGCTTTCTGTGCACCAGGAGCTTCATCTCGCAGCCACAGCAGGGCCTGATCCGCACTCCCCGCAATATCAACAAATATCCCAGACCATCCCAACCCTGAAGAAAGGATTCCACAGATGTCTACACCTCAATCTTGCTCTCTTGTTGCTGCATCCACTCACGACATTTTTTATCGCCCGTGTGCTTGCCAACTACTTGCGGCAAGTTCATCTTAGCTCTCCATGATCGATCAAGCAGCACGTGGAAACCGATGCCTCTCCGAAGGCAGAAAGCTCCGCGGTGTTGTTGGAGCACATCTGGCAAATGCAGCTCAGGCACCCTTTCGCAAGCTGAGCAATTGGACGTGAAACAACAAACTCACATCGGTACCGGGCCGCTCGGGCTCCGCGACTCCAATGGTTCTTCGATTTTAACACTGCGTACACTGCTTCCAGGAGGCCGTCTTGCATTGCAGATGCAATTGAACATTGAAAATGCTCGCTACATACCCCGCCTCTGCTCCCAGGCTCAAAGCAGAATCTGACTCGACAACTGGCCCGAACAGGCGGCAAAAGTCCCGCAGTTGACCGCTTTCCCTGAGCAACAGCAACACATCTCAGCTCAACTTGTAAGGGACTGCAACATGCCAATTGTCAAAGCCCGCAATGACTGGGAACCAATGCACGCCAATTGGCAGTCTCTGCACAAACGTCACCGCAACATTGCGAGCGAAGCAAGCAATCTGCTGATGCGCACCTTCTGACTAAGCCAAAAGCGCACGCAGGAATACAGCAACTCCCCAACCAGCTGGATTATGCGTGGCTCGAACATCTCCTTAGCAGCTAGACAAACGCGTCAGTGCATCTGAATTGCACATTGCAACTCGGATTGCCAGCAAACCCTTTAGCTACACACATATACAGTACATAGCAAAAAAGGGCAACTGAAGGAATCATCTTGCCGGGCTACGATTCGTTGGGCAGGCACCGTCCACGTACAAATGCCAAATTTCACCTGGAGAGCAGCAGCTGTTCAGCATCATCATGCTCATTGTCGCATCAAAAAGCGTGCCTTATACACCGCATGTCTACGCAATGCTGAACCATCCCGCAGGTGTCGGGCCTGGCTCTGGCAAAGGCTGTGGCGCTCTGGCAGGGACTGGTGTCCACTCCACCGACGCTGATGCCTGGCAGGAAATAGCAAGTGATCACAAGCCTCCTAAGACATTCCAAGTCAAGACTCTCCTTCAACCCTCCGACAAGTCCGGTGCTTCTGGATGTTGCTTGCACGACTCGCTCTTCGCCTACACCAGCTGTCGCGCCTTTCGGGCCTGTGCTGCAAACGTTACCGGTGTGATCTCGTCGGCCAGCGTGGGCAACGCCTCGAGTTCTGCGAGTTGACTCTGTCATGACTGTCATGGCCTTCCACCCGCCCAAAGACTAGCACAGCGACTGTGAGGCTGAGCCTCCAAAGCCGCGGATAGCTTGCGCTCCACCTCCACGCCGTCCTTGCCCTATGGAACGGCCAAGGGAGCTCCACCCCATAGAATGCCCAAATGAGACAGAGACCAGATGGTCTCAAGTGGTAAGATCTGCCTGGACAAGGATGCTGCACTTGCTGCTGTAATGGCTCACCTGAGTCTTCTGCAGTTTACTCAGCAAGCCAGTGATAGTGCAACAACTGCTACTTGCGAACTGCTGCAAGTGCATCCAGGATGCCGCCGCTTTCCAACCTGGGATATTGCACGAGCCATGTAAGCAACGGATTGAATGACCTTCGAAATCCCTCTGATAACCCATCAACCTGCAAATGACTACCAATGGCCGTGCCTACTGCATCGACGCTGGCACGTAATAGATTAGAACGAGAAGCGCAAGCAGCGATGCTGGCGTTGTGTATTTGGCATCTCTTCCCACTTGGGCTGCTCACCCAACAATCGTAGTGCTCTGTCCACTTGTTCGAGGCCTGTGCGAGTACATTAGGTCATGCTCAACTACATGCACAGCGTGGCTTGACAACTTACTTCCTTGCTGCACATTGTCCATGCGAACCATTGATCATCAAGAGGCATTCATTGCAGCATCTTGCATTGCTGCCAAGCTTCTGCATACGTGGCTCAGCTTCCCCATTGGGCACAGTGGCTGGAAGCTCAAGAAATGCAGCTAACCCGATCCTACGGATTTCCAGCGACATACAAGTCTTCAGCCTGAGCCAGCGCCACTCTGCCCTTGCATCCAACGAGCAACTCTCCCAGCTTGCTGTATGCTCCCCAGAGTGCCAATCCGAAAGCTAGCGCAACGCAGGCATTTAAGGATTTGCTGCCAGTCCAAATCAGGGAAAAGGGTTGTTGGGAGGGCTCTTGGGCAATCCTTATTCCCTAACCATAGCAAATTGAAATGTATAGACAGGGCAGGCAGCATCAAATGTGGATTCTCAACCATGCAAAAGAGACAGTCTAATAATCACCGAGACGCGGAAGCAGGAGCAACACAAGCTCGGAGAAAGCTGGGAAAAAGCAGACATTGTGACTTGATGGAACACATGCACAATAAAGATAGATGGCACGCGCAAAATTTAGGCACGGAACGGTGGTGAGGATGCCTCGAACACCACCACAAAGGATGGCATCCTTCCTGGTCCGTGCAACTGCCCCAAACAATTCTGCTAATCTGCAAAACTGAAGGGGCCATGCCATGAACACCATGGAGTTAAACTTTGGCAGGGTGTCAATCAACATTCGAGATACAGCAATATTGCCAGTAGGTTTTTCCATTTCAATTTCAATGCAAACCTACAGCTGCTTCCGAGACCTTTCGGCACAGACACACGACCATAGCCGAGCTGTAAAGTGTGAATGAAAAATTGGTATGAACACAAGGCACCACAAAACCTCTTCTTGTCTTGCCTAGTGACATCACACAGGCAAAACTTGCGATTGCACAATGGAGCTGGAGACCTGGATGTGTGGTTTCTGAGTCAGTGCAGGCTGCTGCGACTGTTTACTTTCTCATCGATTTGCACCGCCAAACGATGCCAGCTGCTCCTCATCCAAGCCTTGCAACGACAGCTGAGAGTGACTGAAGCGGTTCTACTTGGCCACCACGATGTCTGATTCTGCAAGCGACATGTTATTCGGCAACTAAACTGGTCTAATAGCAGCTAAGCTTTCTCAAGAATTGCAAATGGTGTGATGACATCATACCATTTGCAGTACTGTGGCAACTAGTCTGATTGGGAATTTCAAATAGTCTGAATCAGTAGCTACCTTTGTTCGGAAACAAACATTGTGTGATGCCGAAATTAAGGATCTAAAATGGCAGTTACCCACGACTGGGATTTGCCGCAAGGTGTCATCCCATCTACCCTCGCCAGGACTGGCAATGCTTCATGCTGTGTTGTTAGATTTGGGCCTGCTCCTCAAATCCAAATTGTCTGCTCTACCAATCCCATGTTTTCTTACATGTTCTCTTGTTGAAAACCTGCCCACAATCAAACCCACAAAGGTAGTACTTCAGCCCGCCCCCGACTTGACATTGTTTCAGGGGCCCCCGAAATAAGGTCTTGTTGCCTGGCCCTCCCAAGAAAAACCAAAGGAAGCTCCAGCAATACTAAATCAAATGGAAACTCACTTCACCTGAATCTCAAGATATTATTCTAGATACCCCCATCGTTGGGGGGGGGGGAGTCCCCCCTTTACTAATCCCAATTGGACATTAAGCTTCTTCCGAGACGCTGCTGGCGGGCAGCCACACTGGAAAGATTGCAACATGACTGATGCATGCATGAACCATGATGACACAAGCAAGGATTCAAACAACCTTGCTGAATCGCATTTTCCGAATCGGCATCTTTTCGAGCGTGACTTTGACAACACATCGATCAACCTGCCTGACATGGCCACGTCAGCCAGCTTAGCAATTTCCTTCGCTAGCTGCTTATTGCTCCTCACCTCGGAAGACTTGCGCTTGAAATCTCGGTCCCAAGCGCCGCCAAACCTGCGGACACTTTTTGACCGATAGCAACAGATTCAATGCATGAGCAATGGCATTTCGCCAAGCTGACTAATGATGACAGTCTGTCTGGCCGGCCGAAATCAAAAACAGGCCGCCTTCTCCTTCTCCATGAGCTCAAGTTCTCGCTCAGCCTGCCACTTGACTAAGGCAAAGAAGGAATGCCATGCAAAATGCCAATAGACCAACCAGGCAGAAACCGAGTCAATGTACCGTACATCAGCTTCCCCCAATTGGTGGTCTGGATTGGCGGTTTAAGGGATTTGAACCCCTGAAACGAGTTCCTAACCTCTAAACCGCCAAACCAATCCACGAATCGAGATGTACCTGGGTACAGTTTCCAACAAGTGTTTCGAAGCAGAAAGTCTAGCTCGCCTAATGGACTGATTTGTCTGCAAGGCACACAAGAGCCGCCCTGTGCCTCGTGCCACTTCAAGTTCAAATGCTGCCAACTTCTAGCTGGATGAAAGCTCGAGACGCAAATAACAACACGCTGACAGAAGGGCATGCATTGTTTATCCACTGTCAGTCAATGAGTCAAACATTGTTTTGACCATAAGTCCCGTTGGTGCTATGACAGCAGGTGGTCAAACGCTTCAATCGAAAGGAGGCCTTCGTGCAGTCGGTGTGATATTTCTGTTACTCACGTCACATGGTTGATCACTGCTCGAGTAATCATGGTTTCTTGCGTTCGTAATCGTCTTGGTCTTCCCACCCTTGTGTGGTCCACTGCTCTTGGAAAGGAGTTCGCAGCAAATGTGACCTCGGGGAGTTGAAGTCTTTTCTTCAATGGGCGAACCTTCTTCTGGTAATTCGGAACACTCCCATCGCTTCATTAGTCCTGCTATGGACTTCTTGGTTTATTAGCTCTGTAAATGTATGTGGTGTCGGTGTGTTTTTGCAACGATCATCGTGTGATCCGCAAACAGAAGCTCTCGGTTGTGGGGTCCGTGTTGCTTTGGACAAATTCGCAGAACAAAAAGGAATCGGCTTAGCGGACATCCTTGCCGGATGCCCGTGTTGGTGTCTCCAGTCCCCTGTCCTATTCGTGTGTTGGTTCGGTTCTAGAGTACGGCCTACTGTATACAGCATCTAACGCGGTTTAACAAAAATCACGTCGATGTTGAGTCTCTTTGGCGCTTCCTTCTATCAAGCGATCGTGGCTTACCTTGTCGAACGCTGTTCCCAATCCAAACGAAACAGTAGGTTCAAAACAGCAGCTCTGCAGTGTGTCTGCTCTATATTGCATGTCAAGCAAAAGTTGGTCAGCTAGCGCAAGTCGCATTTTGAGTCGACTTTCGCCATGATTTTGCAAGACATGTTCAACGCAAGGAAATCGGACGGTATGTCCTGGAAGCTCCAAGTCGCCATTGTGTAAATGGGAACAGCTTCTGCGTTTGCAAAGTGCCATAGAGCATGTTCAAGATCTTTGACAGTCAACCAACTGAAGTCAATAACCATAGGGGCTAAAGGCATGTTCAACCGTCTGGCAGCTGCGCTTGCGATCTCTGCAATATCTTTGCCGTGCTACGTGGAGTGGGGCAAAGGGCGGACACAAATACCACAAAATTCCTGATCGGAGGATGCAGCCCCTTCGGGAATCCCGTTTGCGGCTTCCGCATGAATGTTCCTCCCAGCGGAAATGATTTGGCGACCTGCTTTAAGGCTATGGGGGCCAGCCAACAGCCATTGGCGCCTGAGCAAAGTTGCTTGATCTGGTTTCTTGCGTTCACTTTTGCCCTTTACTTACTACCATGTGCTTCAATTTGGTGGCTCCTTAGCTCCCCCTTTAGATGCAAAATTAGATTCCCCCGGCTCCTTGGCTCCCTTCTGACCACCAGCCAGGTCAGCAGTTTCGCTTTCGCAGATTTCTTCGAACCGCTGGCCCCCTCCTGCCGCAGCGCTGCGGTGCTTTCCGGCCGCAGCGCCCAGGCGCAGCGGAGGTCCGCGCGTGCGGGCTCCGGGCGCTGCCTTCGCGGCCACGGGGCTCGTTTTGGGTTGGGCCGAGAGGTCCAGCAGTCTTTGAATGTCATGTTTGTCCAGCCCTAAACGGAGAAACGAAAGGAGATTGCAGGTGGCTTGAATTGACAAAAGATTTGGGAAGTGAAGATTTTGGGGGTGATCTTCTCATTGCGTGATTCCTGTAATTCTCATGTGATTCAATTCGACGAGCCCTGCCTCAAGATTCTCGTCTTAGCACGCAGGTAGTAGGCCTCACAATGATTCGATTCAGCCCAACAACTTTAGCGTGAGGATCGTACAAGCTGCTCTGCATAGCCAAACTTCAAGCACTCGCCTTGACCAGCTGCTCTTTGCCCTCCGTCTCCAAAGGCTTTCCAGCAGCTTTGTAAGCTGCCCAAAGCGCAATGGTCACAGAGAGGTCCTGAAGCATCTTCCAGCGAGCGAAAGTCGAAAGCACGTGGCCGGCACATGGGAGTTGATCAATATTCCATTTACCCCAAAATGACCCTGCGTAACTTTTCCCATGTTGAAGCATCATCTTTTATGTGGTTTCCCCCAATGGTCATCCCATGTATCACTGGACCTTGTCATCAACCCCATGGCCAGCCACCCGCCTGCGCCGCTTCTTGCTGCTGCCCCAGCTGAGCCAAGGCTCGAGATCGATTCAAGTGCAAGCTGCCCTGGCCGAGACATGTGGCGCATTGGGGCCGTGGGGCATGGCCGTTGCAAACCTTACGCATGGCCGTCGGGGAAGGTCCGAATGGCTCTGAGCTCTCAGCCAAAACCCGCTTCATCTGGGAACCGTTTTGACGCCAGCACAACCGGCCTGCAACAGCATCTGATCAAGCTGTACACCTATCAGCGCATGATGAGGGACACCTTGGAGGACCTTCCACACGGTCCAAGGCAACAGGAATCGACTGGTATGGCGAACGTGTTATCGCGCGCACGCACGCACGCACACAGAGTGAACAGCGTTGAACAACGAGCTAGGCTTCAATGCCCAGGCGCCTCAACTCTCCCGTCTTTTCTCAATTCCACGTCAGCTCGGTTGGAATTGTCCACCAGAACGATCTTGCCGGGCAACAGTGCGCCGTTTCCTCAGTCGGGATTAACTCCCAGCGCCCTATGTTCCTCGCCTCGTTTCAGTTTGACCTGCGGCCTTGCCTATTTCTCAACACGAACCCCTACGAAAAAAGCTATGGGAAGGGGGGCTATCCCTCAACAAGCACAGGATAAGCCCAGGAGAAGCCCAGGATAAGACAAAAACAAGCCAAGGATGAGACAAGCGCTTACCTTTAGAAGCTGGTCCACGACTCAACGCCTCGTGCTGCCCGATTCTCGGTTTGCCAGGACCCAGGTGTTGGCCTTGGGAGCTGCCCGCTCCAAGGCATCCAGGGCACGGCCGTAGAGATCCGAGGCAGCCTGCGCTCCGTTTCCCGCGCGGTAGCTCAGCTCTATTGGCTTCCTGATGCAGGATAGTATGTACTCAGTGGGTGGTTAGGCAATGGATGCAGGTAGGACATTTATGGACTCAGTCGGTGGTAAGCTGCAATGCACTAGTGCTATGTGAACATATGCAGCCGCTAGCGGCATGAACTCAAAACAGGAAATGCACGTGTTGGAACACACGGCAACTTGGGATGTGAGCTGGGCCTCCATGTCGCCGAGCTTGAAAACCGCGTTGCCTGCCTCCTGGCAAATGCATTCAGTCTTTAGCCTTTGACCTTCCCCCGCTTGCTCGTGAACTGCCAGCAAATCACGAGACTTCATACAATCCATGACTCAAAGCCAAACGTCTAGCCTCATTGCTCAAGGGAATAGGACTCATACAGGAGCATTCACCGCACACAGAGTTCAGACGGGTTTGTGTGACCGTTGCGGCGTTTCAGGTAGCCTCGCTCCCAACACGTTTGGCACCTTGGCGCCGCTGACGCTGAAATTATCCGCCTGCAGGAAGGGCAACTCAATGGGCTCCAATGGCCTGGCCACGTCAACTTGTTACGAGGGCCTCGTCTTCAAACGTCTGGATTCACATAATTAACAAAGGTACTATTGTTGCGATTGTTATATCCAAGCATATAATGATAGCTATAGTTATTATCATTATAATTATAACGATTGCTCATAGTATTGTCATAATCATGTTCATTATCATTACAACTATTGTTACTCTTATCGTTACCCTTAGCAGCTTTAGCAGTGTTTTCATTTCGTCGCTATACTCATTACCGTTATCAAAACCACTATTCTGGTTTCTACTAGAAGTAGTAGCAGCAGCAGAAAAAGCAGTAGCAGTAGCAGCAGTAGCAGCAGCAGTAGCAGCAGCAGTAGTAATAGTAGTAATAGTAGTCAAAGGATCTTTGGACGGAATTCGCAGGGTCAGGTACAGGAGTCGTCGCAGGCACAAGCACTTTCGTAAGGTCAGTCAGGCAGTCAGGCCCAGCACCGCATTTCGTAGCGGTCGCGGCACTTTCGCAAGGTAGATACTTAGATAAATAGATGGGCAAATATGTAGATAGAGGCATGGTTGGATAGATAGGTCGAAAAATGAATAGAGAGAGAGAGAGAGCTAAGATGGATAGAGAGTTCGATAGATAGATAGAGATAGATAGATAGATAGACAGACAGATAGATAGATAGATTAGATAGATAGATAGATAGCAAATTCAAAAATGCATACTAGCTAGCTCTCTAGCTATTATATATAGATACTTCTATCTATGCATCTTAAATATCTATTAGACATGTAGATTGTTGGATCAACATATATTATATTTGGATAGATAGATAGATAGATAGATAGATAGATAGATAGACGAATAGATAGGTAGGCAGGTAGGCAAATAGACAGATACCTGGGCATATGTAGATAGAGAGAGAGAGAGGGAGAGACTAGATACATTGATAGATAGACACATGGATAATCATAGATATCTACATAGATAGATGGATAGAGAGGTAGATAGATAGATAGATAGACAAATAGATAGGTAGGGAGGTAGATAGGTAGATAGAGAGAGAGAGAGAGAGAAACATATCTGAACATAGATAGGAAGGTAGGATAGAGCGATATAGACAGCAAGATTTCGCGGGCTGCGCCCACTCGCCCGGGCGGCGCGCCCTGGAATAGATCGGTAGACACGCAGCGATAGGTAGGCAGAGAGGAAACTCGGATAAGATAGAAAAACAAAAGAAGGAAGGAAAGAAGGAAGGCATAGGAAGGCAACAATGAACAAGCGATGACAAAGACCAAGAAGACCGAGAAAGAAGGAAAGCAAGAAAGAAAGAAAGAAAGAAAGAAAGAAAGACAGAAAGAAAGAATGCAAGAATGCAAGAATGCAAAAGAAGGAAGAACAAAAAAGGGCAAAGGAAATAAAAACGGTGACAAAGAGAAAGAAGAGAGAGAGAGAGAGAGAAGAAATCCAGGAAGGACGAAAAGAACGAAATAAAGAGAGAAGGAAGGAAGAAAGGAAGGAGGGAGAAGAAGGCGAAACGAACGAAAGGGAAAATGAACGATGACAAACAGCAAGAAGAGCAATAGAAAGTAGAACATAAAGGGAAAGACAACTGTGGGTCTTCTATGTTTGAAACTTCCGCCCGCCATAGTAGTAGTAGTAGTAGCAGTTGCAGCAGTAGCAGTAGCAGTAGCAGTAGCAGTAGCAGTAGCAACAGCAGTAGCAGTAGTAGTAGTAGTAGTAGTAGTAGTGGTAGTAGAAGTAGTGGTAGCTTTTACAAAAGTACCATATTCGAACAACATACACACTGCCTAAGCAAGAATCTGAATAAAGCCGAGCTGAGCTCAAGTTGTACCGCAACACGATAAATCTGTGTCTTGTCGAGCCTCAGGCTGTCGATTGGCACCGTAGCATCGCTGCTGTCCTGGACAGCTGTAAATCGGCACCGCTCTGGACATCAAGCGTCGAATCAAAGGGAACAACAAGGCATTTATCATTGCATTTGTGTAGCAAGGCATGTATCGGATTCAATTTGTCCCTTCTCCTCTGCACTGCGTCTGTTCACACCTTTCCATGTTGCAGTCCTTTGCAGCTGATCCAACGAATGCTACATCGACCTGAGTGTCCATCAAACCGAGCTGCCCTGCGAGGAATCGCTTGAACGACAGTCGACTGCCCTGGGCCCCCGGCAGTGCCCTCGGCTTCCTCCACACACTCCACCATGGCGCGGCGGAGCTGCCCGGAGGCCAGCTTCACCTCCCGTCCAAAGGGACTCTGCGATCGCTCGCGTCATGGCATGGCAGCTGGCATGGCAGAGCTTCTTGGAGGGAGACAGTCCGGTAACCACGCTACAGTCTGTCGAGGTTACTCAAAACCTGTCATGGTCTCTGACATGCCTGTCTTGGAGGGGCTGCAACTTGAAACTCGTTGAGGGCTGCGCGCGCACCAGCTTACCCACTGAGCACAGCGGTGTCTCATCGTACGCCGGCCTTCAGACATGCCAGGCTTTGACTCCAGAAGTACACCACTGTCATGCGCACATGGCAATCTGCCCGTTGCCCGCGCTCCATCTTGGACCAACGCATCTTTGGCCGGACGCCCTTCTGCCGCAACTCATCCGCCATGGCCCTGCGCTCGAGGAATAACCAAGCAAGCAAAGATGCATGGCGTGAAGCTGGCAAGCCTAGCTCCACTCCCGCCCTGCCCGAAACAGATCTGACTTGCGTTGGGTTTCCGTACCTCAAAGTTCACAGGCCATGGCAGGAGACCGAGATTGAGTTGCGACCTACTGCTTGTTTGAAGGAATCAATGCTGGCTGAATGTCTATGTTTTCCGAACGTGTTGGTTGAGCCTGGTCCTGTCGGTTCTTGGACTGTAGGTCTGTCAGGACAGCTAAAAGATTGAATTTGGCATTCCGAGCATTGCAGTTTGCACCTTGGACCTGTGAATGCCACGCAGTCATGCGCATCACGTGTCATCTTGTTTGGTCCTAGTAAGTGCAGTGAATTATTCCGCAAACATGTGTGAGATTCCAATCCCTCACCCACAGCCACAAAGCCAAGGAGGGCGGACGAGCACAACAGCAGCAGCGAGGCGCCCAATGCCAAGAAGGCATGAGAGGCTGCCCCTAGCGGATGCACCTGAGCAGCCATCGTGATAGGGCTCAGTTGCAGCTTGCACATGGGGCTGCCTTTTTTGAGGGTACACCTTTTGGTGGATTGAAAGCGAAACCAAAAGGACAACTTTGGGCCCCTAAAAATAGACACACCCACAGAATACCTGACTTCATGAAAAAAAAGAAGGAAATGCCAATGGCTGTCAACTGTAGAAGGTCATCTTGGAACTGTCTACGCAGCGCCAACAGGTCGAAACCAGACCGGGCTTTACAAGCACAGCTGGCTTACAGTTCAGGACTCTGTCCCATGCATTTCCCATGGGCTGGCACAGGCTGAGGGAATGGGGATTCGATCATGCTGTATGGGTTTTGCAGAATCTGAGCCTCTCGCCAGCTGCAAGACCTCAACAAGACATGTCAGAGCAAATATAAGAGGCAAATATGGAGACAGTCACATTGATAGTAGTGTATCCACAGAGATGAAACAAAGAGTCTGTTCCTAGTGTTGTTCCCACATTGCTTTCTTTTCAAGGCCAAACCGTGAACTGTCAAATTCTGGTGCCTGTTGCCTTTCCCATAGTTGCACGTGCTTTCCTGGACGTGCTTTTGTCCATCGAGCCCCGCACCAGCTGCGGCTCCAGCAGCAAAAGGCTTAGGCGCTGCAGCACAAGCAGCGGCAATGCCAGGGACCTCGGCATGATGGCTCATATTGCAGACATTTGGCTGTGGGTCAAAATTGAACCACCATGGGACCACAGGTTTAATCCATGTTTCCATTTACCAGGGTTCCGATTTTGGGTACATATTTTTGACCCACTGCCATATTGCATACAGCCGCTGTATGTTGAACAGAACTGGTGGCCACCAACTATTCTCTGAGGCTCGGAGGTTGTTTGACTTTACGGGCAACAGTTCAATGAGGGTGATGGTGCAGAAGAAATTCCCAGCATCTAAGTCTGCAAGCGAGTTCAGGAGGCAAATAAGCCAGTGCCGTTGGTCCACCCTAGCCATGAGAAAAGCACCTGGATCTTCACACTGGGATGCCACTGTGGCTCAGCCTGCTTGAGGCACACACTGCATCAGCGTCCGCACCATTGTGAAGAGACAGGACCATGACCTTGGCCCGTGCTGGCATCTGCACACCAAGCAAGCGCTTGCCGGGTCCAGCTCAGAAAACCATATATGCTGAGAGCGCGGCATGCTGCGTGAGAAAAGTTTGAGTACCTGTTCATCTGGGATTTGGTGCGTCCGAATGCAGCGATGATGGACTTATTTATGAATGTTCAAGCATTAGATTTTCCGAAAACCACTAAACGAAATGTTGTAATATAGATATATGACAAACACACACACACACAAATTGTCCAACTGCATGGGCACTAAGCAGGCGCCAGTGAGCCCGAATGGCAAGAAGGCTGTGATGGGCAACTCCCCTCGCAGGTACCTCCGCCGGCGAATGCACAAGCCGACTCATGGTTTTAACGAGAACACGTCTCGGGCGGCTCGTCCTTTTGAGTGGACGCCTCAAATTGGTGGGTTGAGTTCTCAAAATTGTGGGTTTTGACAAACAGGACTTGAGCTTTGCTTTTGGAACTGCATAGTAGTGGATAATTCCAAGATGACCTTCTTGACTCCTTTGCAACAAATCAGGTATATTGTGTGAGTGTGTGTTTATTGTTAGGGGACACCACAAAATTCGGGGGTTTTCTCGTGGTTTCCCGTTTAAAACATTAAAAAGTGGGGTAGCTTTGACAAAAACACACCCACTTCTTCATTGACTTGACGGATGTCCAGTCCAAAGGCAACATTTGGCGCACCATACGGCCAGCACGGCGATTGTTGTCAACGCCTGCCACTGCCAGTGGGTTGCAAGGGAATCATTTCTTTGCCACATCTCGCTTGCCAGACTGCTCACAACACTGCTATGTGTGTCGCCTCCGCAGCATATCTGGCCAACTTCTGCGGGTCAGACCTCTCAATACGCGACGGCTACACTAAGCGCGATTCCAGGGGTGGAAGCAAGAAGCCACACCATGTACGGGGTAGGGCTGTGTTCCTGTGGGTCTGTGGGTATGGCCAAAGCACCCTTCCAAAAACTCTGAGAAACAGCATTCAAACATGTAATGACAAGACATGTGACCTTTTAGTGAACAGAAACACTTGCGTTGAAGAGCATAAGCAGGAGAAAAATAAAAAAGGTGAAATAGATGCTCATGGTGGTTCACTGCAGGTGAAACCTCTGGGTGTTCACACGTGTAGAGCCGTCGTGCTCGCAAGGACCGCGGCGGTGGCCGATGCAACGGAAGTGACGCCTCAGCGCAAAGGTTGGCTTTTGCTGTGGGGCGCCCTGATTTGGGCAGCCATCCACGATGCCTCTTGTGATGCGCTGACATGGATGCAATGTATCTTAGTCTATTGGCGACCTAACCCAAGCACTCTTGCTGTTGGCTTCAGGGCAGCTGTCAAGTGAAAGTGGCCGATTAAAAGTACCTTGTCAACCTACAATCCAAAGCATATTTAGGTCTGAAATCATACTTGTGATGAAGCGAGCATCGCCCGCGATCTGAGGACCGAGCTGCCAGCACTGCTATTTTGTGTAGTGTTACCTGAGAGGACCAATTACTTCCTAACGTGCCGGTCTCGTGACAACTCGGATAATACCGAACAATGCAACAAGTGAAATTGCACTGGAATGCTACTCATTGCTACGCTGGTGGAAGTTACTAGTAGCGGTCCCTGGTTCCTGCCAGAATTTGCTCACTTCCAGCCTGTGCTGAACACGTGCCATCGAGTTGCCACACCAAACGTGAGGACGAAGGTGACGCAAACCATCAAAGGGAGCGCTGCCTGCAGCTCACAGACGTGGTCAGATCCACGGGCCGGTGGGCAAAAGCGGGGCAAACGCAGCGGAATGGCTACCGAAATAGAGTGGAAACAAATAACTACTCACATCAACCCCAAAGTTGGCGCACGCCACTCAAAAAACACACTTTTTGACGGGGTGTTTCAGCTGCAGGACGCTTCAGCGTCTGCAAACATATATGCATGGCGATGCATGGTCAACACGAATCTCTGCAAACATCCTAACAGGGTTGCCACTTCAAAGTGGCTCACTTTCCAGCAAAAAAGAAGCCGGCACTTCCACTGGCTTGGAGGGCGCGCTTTGAATGCCAAAGAGAAACACAGTGCGCTACACTTTGAGAGCTCTCTCTCTCTCTATTTCTTTCTCTCTGCTCTTTGCTTCAGACCGCGCCTCCTTCCCCTGCCAACACTCCTTGAAGCCCAGGAGCATCGTCACCAGGAAAGCACTGCACAGCAGGAGCAAAGTCAAGCAAACTTCTGCCAAGCACTGAGCATCTCTCCCAAGCTTTGGTGACCGTTGAGAATCCCTCAATCAGGCATGTCAGGACATACCTAGGCCCGCATGGATGCGGACTCTTTCTAGCCAACCAACGTAAAACATTGCCCTCTCTGTCTAAGTGCCACACGCACACACGTACGCCCTAAACTGCCCATCTGCCGCAACCTGGCCTTCGGACAAGCTGCCCAACGAGGTCATGGGCATAGTGAAACCTAAGCACGCTTCAAGGGAAACCATTCCAATGTCGCCATACGCCCTAAAGCAGAGGATGGTGCCATAGCCACCCTCCAAGACTCTTAATGTGGTTCAATCATTGACCTACTACAGGATGTAGATACCGCAACCCTTGAACCACGCCCAACGAGTTGAGCCGGCCGCATAAAGCTGCCCAGGCCGGGCCGTTCCTCCCGACCCAAGTACCTGGCAACAACCCCGTCAAATGACTGACCAGACTTCCCAAGACAGGGGATGTATCCCGACCAGCGAGCCGCAACTGCAAAGCAGCTATGGGGCCGGCCGGCGTGCGGTCACGCAGCACCCACCTCTTAAACACTTTGTAAGGCACGTCACGCCCAACAATGTTGGAGAGTTAGGGGATCCAGAGGCACATTTTAGATGCAACCTTCTCTCTTTGGTGCATCTGCTGGCGCACGGCTTTCGACAAATGCTGCATTGTGGCCGGCTGCCGCCTCCTCACACGGATCCGTGGAATTTCTTGCAGTTGCTGGCCAACCCATGTCCCTTCGCATTACCCCAACACCTGCTTAGGGGCTGCGCCAAACAATCGAGTCAATTGGCAACCGTGCTTGAGCACCAATGCGCTCACTGCAGTATGCACCTTACTCCTTTATCTGTGTCTCCTAGAATGTGCTGACAACATGCTTGTTGGCGGATTCATCAATCGGAGCATATCCGAGCAGCTCAGTCTTAGGTCTCAGGTTCAGACTCACAGCAGCTCCAGCACAATAACTTTGCTGCACTATAGCAGCATCATTGCGGGGCCCCTGAAGGATAACATTTTGGGGCAATAGCTAGCCTGTCATTCTGGCGTCAACAACATGCTCCTTGATGCCCCAGTCCCTCTGTCCTCCAGCCTGACGCTGGTGCCGCATCCACCTGAGCAGCTAAAGAAGTGTATTGCTTTGGGCATCAAGGGACTTCAAACGGTCCTGCAATTGTCTCTTTCTTGGAACGCGCGCAACAGCGCATTGTTGAAGTTGCTTTTGGAAAGCTTTAAGCAGAAAGCAGCGCGTCCAAGCTCTGTGCTGCTCCACACACGAAGCATGCACGCCACTCATAGACCTGGCAGCAACTCTCCTCCACTCTCTGGATTTGACAAAGGCAGAAAAGGATTGAAGTCTCGGCATCAGAATCTCACGGCTTGGACCTTGCTCCACAAGCCGGTACTCTTTTGCCGCGTTCTTGTCGCAGAGGCGTGTCGGGCGTGAGGACAACGGGCTGAGCAAAACGAAACACCAGTCCTTTGGGTCAATCCCTCACACCTCAGCCGGCCAGGGTTCTTCGCCAGCTCTCAGACTGGCTTGGAAGCACCCGGCCTGCTCATCGGGCTTCAAAGGCCCGAAATAATCTTCACATGTAACGCAGGCGCGCACCTGACATTAGTTGATAAAAGGCTCTCAGACATGGAAACCCAAGGACCCATGGGCCTGGCTTTCCATGACAATCACAACAGCGAAAGACATCTCAGCAGTGTAAGCCCAACATATCAACATAGCATACATGAAGTCAACAAAGGGCTTTCCAAGCCCGATATTCACCAAAAGCAACCAGTGTTCATTGGCAAACAAGATTATTCTCACAAACCTCGTTCTGCTGGTGCCTCTGGCTACGCAGCTCAGTAATCGCCGTTGAAGCCGGCATCCTTCACCTGGGGGGCACCGCAAGCAACTGCTTACTGCTAGAATCCTCCCAACTTGCCGCATGCTGCTTAAGCCTTAAAGCCAACTCTCCGCAAGAATTGCTTGGATCTCTGCGTGATGTGGAGCTTGGCCCAGTGCAAATTGGGACTAGCCCCTCTAGCAGCTGCTACTTCAACCGGCACCCATTCCAAATAATCTGTCTATTGGAATACTATCATCAATCGTGAAGCGTAAGCAGTTGCCTGCATGTTCTTGCAACGACTGAAAGGGATTCAATTTGCAAGAGTCAGAAGTGCAGCGTACATAGGTTGGCCATTCACACGGTTCAAGTGCAACGCATGCCTAAGTCCAGGTATGCTTGCACTGTGCTGCCGCGCTGCAGTGCCACCTCTGGTAGAGCCCGGTGCGAACCACTCAAGAAGATCTTGCATGTCCTCAGTCGCTGCACTAAGTTCATTGTTCTATCAACGCAAGTCAAGTCTTTCTCTCAAGCTTGTCCAGCGATTGGAGAGCTGAAATGCACGCGAGTCACGTCCATATTCATTGACACCGGAGCGCTGTAGTCCACAGGTGGCTGATCAGGACAGGCATTGTCAATCACACAATACTTCCTGAGTGTTGCCGAATCGTTGCCGAATCGTGAGCTGTACACACACACACACTCACACGCAATCAAAGCACGATGTTCGCCGGCATACCTCTAAGCCCAGGCACGACCAATCATAGCCTCAGACAAGATCCATGCGGCAAACATAAATCCGTCACATCCGCTTACTTGCGTTCCCGTAACGCCGAGCTAGATTCGCTGCTGCTTCGCAATTGTTGTCTCAAGGCTAAGTGTCGTGAATCCTTAGGGGGGTTGTAAAGAAAATCGGAAACTATGCCCGCCTTTTGACCACGTAGCAATTATACAAAAAGGCATCATATGCCTTCTGTAGCTTGGAGGTATTTGTGGCACACCCTCAGGATTACATAATCACCTGATAGTTTGCTGAATGACAAATATGCAATATCGCATTCAGCCGCCGTCACATTAAGCCGCCAAGGCTCCATTCTTTTCCACAATCGCCCTGGCTTTGGCTTCTGCTTCTACAGATAGCACGGGCGTTCGTGCATATACAAAGCTGCCTGTCATGGTGCAACTACAGGATGATTCAAGTCATGAAATACTCGCATGACTACGCCACTCTTCACTGCTTACAAACAGAATATCTGTTGCGAATGCAAACTAGCCTACATCTGATGGATTGGGTCCATTGAATATGTTTTCTTGAGACTGCTTCTCTCTCTCTCTCTCTCTTTCTCTCCGTTGCAACTGAATGCAGATGCACAGAAAGCACCATGCCTCGATAGGCATCCTGCACACGTCTTTGACACGAAAACCACACCGCGGCTGTCGGAGATGTCGCTCATATGCGACATCATTCAATTAAAGTAGCGTTGAGTTATGCCCATGGCTTCAGCTGCAGCCTGCATGACAAATACTGCCCTTGCTAAAATATCGCAAGAGTCGCAACAGAAGGCGCATCCACTTATCTCTCGGTCCTGGAGGTTGTTGCCTACATATGCTGTGACAACGAAGTCATCATCAGCGCCAAGAACATACCATTCTTCTTGGAAGGACAAGCCAAAGATCTCCCCTTTTGCAAACCTGCGGGCTCAAGCAAGTCAGAACATGATGAGAGTATATTGATCTGAAACCTCACCAGCAAAACAAAGACCATCGCAACATAGAAAAAATGGTCTGACAAACAAACATAGACATAGATCTCCTTCCGGCATCATAAACATGATTGACCAGTCTGCCGGCAAGATACAAAGTACTACGATCGGAAGGAGCTTGCACGTCCATCTTCTCTGTCAGTGTATTTTCCCAGTAGCCACCAGACTTTTTTCTCCTTGGCCCAAGAACTACCTCTCATCGAAGCACATACTGGACTGGTGAAGTGTGCCGGACTAGTCGGTTTGCACTGAATTTGTTCAAGAGACAGTCGGTCAGGTCAGACTTCACAGCAATTCTCAATGTCAACACGGCACCCGTTATCACCAAACAGTAGTCCGAGGCAAGCTGATGACGTTCCATGAATTGGAGATGCGCAGTCAAAAGTCATGTCGCTGGCTTCTCTTGTGTCGCGAGAAGGAATATAACTGTTGCAGTGTCAAGTTTCGCCACTCGCAGCTTGACGTCAGTCGCCATGGTGTTGGTGGCTGGGTCGTACTTGAAGGAGTTGGTTTGGCAAGGATAGCAGTCATACTTTGGGTTGTATCCTCGAACCTTGTACCACTTCCCGTCAAGCTTTCGCACATCGAAGTCCTTCATCTTTGTTGGGACTTGCTCGGCATAGAACTTTTTCACATCCTTACCAGGCCGAGTCGCACAGCTCTTTCACACCAACTTTATGCACATGCAGGATCACCTCTTTGATCAAAACATACCCTTACCAATGCCAGTGTTTGGCCCTGTCCTGCAGGCAAGCGGCATATGTCCCTGCGGGTACACTAACGCACTGCTGCTTCTCTACAGTGCAGTTGAGCCATGCATCTAGCCTGCGCATCAAGTGACGATGGACCGATGAGAGACCATGCATGCTGTTGCCTGACTCAGCTCCAGTCTTCACTAATATGATACACAGTGGGCGTGATCCAACGCCAGCGAAAACTGGACAGAGTTGCCAAATTGAACAGTCCAAGGGCCAAAAGAAAACAATGACTCTCGATTCCTCGATTCCTGCTGGCCTCGGGCATCCATACTCCGCAAAGCATTGGGTGGCGCAGTCAGCATCTCCACGGCAGCGAGCTAAGCACATAGCGCCTTTCCTTGCCAGAGAGTTGCCGCTGATGTCATGGCATGCTATCAGTAGGAGAAACAAAAAAACTAAATGTTGTTCATACCTCATGCTCGGACTGTTGTGCCATGCTGGCTACTGCGCAAGAAGTGCACGACACCGTGTACTAATGTGAGCGGTCGCGACCAGTTTGCTTGCCCATAGGCATTAGAAGCATCTGCAAAACGATCAGGCATGGTCTGACAGTCATGCATACAATGTGAGCCCTTTCAGTATCTTCTTCAAGCAAGCATCAGACATCGTCCATCCTCTGCAAAGCATTCCTGCGCCAGTTCAACCGCCAGCCAACCGCATCACTGCTGTGGCAACACGCAAAGGATCTGCATCAACAAAATTGGCATACTGGTGAATGCACATCTCACAGGGTTGGTCCTTCGTCTGCTTGCCGCACTGCACAAAGAAACAGCCCACGTCCTTTCTTTGCATCTGAACTCGCAATGGCAAAGGCTAGGTCAAAGCAACAGGGAAACCACAATCCTGACACGGCCTTGGATAATGTCTATAGAAGCAACGTCCACTCTGCAGCCTAGACACCGCATCCATCTTGCCGCCTTTTCGTGCAAACTCCGCAAAGCCTCACAGCATGTGCTCTAGCGTTTGAACCCCAAGCTTCTCTTGGTGAAGTTCGCTGATTAACCTCATTTTTGGCGCCAGCACACAGCGCTCATGAATCTGGCAATGCCAAAAGTTGCGCTGATAACGAGCCTGTGGGAGAGCCGTCTGCTTCCGCGAATGCGGGGGCTGACTGTGCCGCCGCCACCAAAAAGGACAAGCAAAGCCCAGCTAGGCAGCCTTCGGGGCCATGGACTCAACATCTAAGTCCTCCTCCGGTCACATCAAAAGCAGTGCCATCGACTGCACCGTGCCATCCTTAAATCACTGCTGCAAAGCTCGGCCTATCAGGGCTGGCGGCGAGAAGCAGGACCTCTCATAGGCGTCCTCAGCAGGCCACTCCCATCCTGTGCTATGATTCATTTTGGTCCCTCCTCCACATGAAGCTTGCTGCGTGCTCTGGTTCGCGGGACAACCTGCAAAGCGTCTTGCAGGAGTGCGCACTGCTGAGGTAAAGACATGGCCATGGGTCAAAATCCCGTACCCCCAGTGAAAATCGCAATCCCCACTAAAATAGGTTCCAAAATGGGTGGTGCACCTGTCCCAAAATGGCACCATTGATTTTGAACCATGGCCACATGAACTTTGGCAAACACAACCAAGTCTGAGCGCCAAGGTGCATGCTTGATTTGGCGCAGTCCGCTCTCCATCATGTTGCTCTGGACAAAGGAACCGCCGAGCGGAAGAGCAACAGCGAGCAGAGCCTTCAACGGACAGCTTTGCATGCCAACACGGTGTACCCGCCGCCCGCAGACTCATGCGGCACATGCGTGTATGTTTGACCTCCCGGAGAGAACCCCACTGCTATGCAAATCGCCCCTGAGGCAAGACAGGACTGGATGGCCGTGCCAAGTCACTAAGGCTGCAAGCCATCGGCGCTTCATCGTCCTACAGCCGAAGTCAATACAACCAACGTGACGCAGCAACCATCATCCAATCATGAAGCAAATCCAGTAAGAGCAACACGGTGTCCCATCGTCCTCTATGTTGCCAATGTCACAGGCAAACAACACATGTTCCTTTCATCAACAAACAAGACCATGTTCCCGACCAACCCTCAAGCAAATATCTTAACTTTTAGCTTGAAGCTTGGCTCGTCTGCTGGCCTTGGATGTTGTTAAGGAGTATTCCGAGGTCAAGCAAGAACAAGCAAGGCAGCAAGGAGCAACCGGTATCCAAGGAGGATGGCAAAAGCAACCTGCAAAGAACACCAAGCAATGAACAAAATTTTGAACCCATCTGAATTGCACGAACTCAAGTCAGCGAGATTGACAACTTTTGATGAACATAGACTCTCAGCAACTCTAGCCGGCGGTCTCGCTTTAACTCTCAGCAACCCAAGAAACACGCCCCAACACTAGACATCTCTCTGAACCTGCCTCAAAAATGCTCAAGCCTATGCAGCCTTTCTTGATCCAGTATGGCTATCTCCAGTGAGAGTCTGAGTCACAAAAGCAAGCCTCAGCTGCCTTCCTCGAAAGCAGGCCGTCCTGATTGACTGATTTCAATATGCTAAGAACTGATATTTTAGCGCACCCTCACTCACACACCATGATTCGAATAAAATGATCCGGGCTGGGGTGCTTGACAAGGGATGCCATACCACTTTCTAGTTTGGACCAACCTTGAACTTGACTTGGCGACCCCCTCAAGCAAAGCCGGGACGACCCTCTGCACGAGCAAGGGTGTATCAAGGGCTCGCTTCCGGAGTCGCGGCAGATCCAGCACTCCCGTGCCTACGGTGAAATCAATCTGACTGCCTTGTTCTGGCATGCACGGTGAGCACAAAAACAACGATGATGCGTATGCCGCCATTGATTGCAGCCTTTGCGGCAAATGGCATGTGTATGGCTTCCCGCCTGCATCTGAGCCGCTGCTTCCTGGCCTCAACTTTGTGATTCAAAGTTATCAATGCTCCCACGCAGAGCCAGAAGAGGCTGTGGGTCAAAAATAGGTACCCAAAATAGAACCCTGGGAAGTGGAACCAAGGATTACAACCTGCTATCCCTTGGTGGTTCAATTTTGACCCATACCCAGAAGAATGTCCAGAACTCTTCAGGAAAATCCCATGCACGTGCAGCAAAGCTCTCCCGCTCTGGAATCGCAAGACAAGGCCGAGCACGTGGCCTGAGCGGCTTGGTGACGACCTGGCAAAGCGCAGCCATCCCCGCCGCACTCGCCCCATTCAGTCCCTTGCAGCATTCCGATCAGCTCCCTTGCCTCTCGGCAGGTCTCAGTAGCTCCGGGAAAAGCTGCGCGAAATCGTCGTCTGCCGCGTTGCAGGCCTGAGCATCTCCCTTGCCAAAAGGCCTTCCAGGGCCACGTGCAAAGGCGATACAATTCGCCGAGGCTCCCAAGATGACTCCGCCAAAGCCCTCCTCTCCTTTTCTGACGCTCGAACTGAGCCGTAGCCTTGATCCGAACGGCGCAATTCTTCAACTCAGCGTGATCTGTTTGGCTTTCTGATGGGCCAAATTGCTAAGCCTTTGACCCATTTCCACATCGGACAAGAAGAAGGAAAGGAGCCCAGTCAAGATGGTGTCCACGGACCAGGCGGGGTTCCAGCTCTGGCAGATAGGCAACCGTTTTGCTGCACATCTTTCTCTTGCTCCCTGCAAAACAAAGACACCAAAGACTACACCGCACTGCGGAAAATACAAGCGATGCAAAATAAAATGCCCTCCTCAGGATGGAAGTCGGTCATGCTGAGACCTTAGCAATGGGTCCAAGTCGCGCGGAAAGGCGCGTGGCCGCAAACAGCAACCGGGCCCGCTGCAAAGCCGGCAGCCCGTCTCAAGCCGACCACTTGGAGTCACCATGACCACAGTGGGTGGTGCGTGAGGATAGTCAGCGGGAAAAACTAGCCTCAAGTGCATGACTGCACGAATGTCGAGTGAGTGGCACGGCAGGGCGGTAAGAATGTGTGTGTGTGTAGGTCAAAGTGTTCCAGGACACCGCCCGCCCTTCAGCCCCAAAACCTAACTTAACCTCTGAAATGACTCACAAATTATGCTATCAACCAGAGAGATTGAAGAAAAGCACGTCAACCTGTTCACTTCACAAAACAGTTGCACTCGCGCTGTACAAGCATACTGAGTTCAGAACCGGCCATGATAGCAGCCGTTGCTGTAAGGCCTTGGCAAATCATACAAAGGCTGTAAATCGTGCTGATGGCGCACAGCAGCATGAACTGGACTCGCTCTAGATTCTACCTTGTCAATACATGTTGACACATTTCCGAGATCCGGACGTGTCAAAAGGAAGCGAATGCAACACAAAGTGCCACCTGACGCACAGGCTCGACCAAGCGGCAAAAGTAGGCATTGAGCGTTCCGACAAACAGCTTGCAGCCCCCCGAGGTCCGTGCTCCAATAGGGAAGAACTGGAAGGCTTCACTGCCACCTGCACATGAGCCACGCCACAACTATTGAAGCATTGAGAGCTTTGGGGGGGATGCAGCCAGTAGATTTGTTGGTTAAGACTTCCAAGCTGAGCACCTCTTTATGGCCTTCAAATGTCACAGCTGCCTATAGACAAATGATGTGACTGGCGCTTGCCCCGAGCGACAACGCCTAAACACAGTCTGTCTGCAAGGAATCATTGACCCTCCACCTGCGAGTTCGGCGACTGCTGAATTAGCTGCAGCTCTCTTCGCAAGCGCCTGGGCAGAGTGACATGCCGAACCTCTACCAAACTTGCTTGTGCTCAGTAGGGTGTTGGGAATGAAAAAAAGGAATCTCCTTAAAGGAAGCCATTAGAAAAGGGTTTATAGGGGTTCCCTCATTGCTGAGCATCAAGCCTCCTCCGATGGATCTCACCTGTTCCCGGACTCCCCCGGCCTCACGGAAGTCGCAGTTGCACTCGCAGCGCCCTGGCCAACAAAACGACTGTCGATCTGGGTGGCTCGCCTTTTTTTAACGGAGCCCCTAAATTGGATGGTGTTTTCCCTTTGATTTCCCTTTAACACGAATCAAAAAGAGTCCCAGATCCGCCCACCAGCTGGCTGGATCCACTTAAGGCCTGGCCTCCATGATTGGATATTGGTCGCGGCGCAAATTTCTAGAAGCCTCTGCGTTTGCTGCTTCGGAAGTCCTTCTTCGGAAAACCAACCGATTGAAATGCAATTGTTGAAATGTACAGCCAATGATTTTACAGACTCAGATGGTTTGCAAACATTTGGACATGTTGAATTACACCTTCTTCTGGTGGCTGTTTGCCATATTGTGATCATTTGCTCCCATGTGGCCCTGCCTATGAAGCAAAAGCACATGACAAATACTGGGACGCGCGCACACACATGCAAACAAGCACAATAACCAAACCAACTACAGTACACACGTGCAGCCGTGTCTGTCTTGACAAAGTTGATGCACACATTACTGATCTCGCCGAGAATCTGTGCCTTTATGGGAACTTCAGCCCGCCAACAGGTTACGCCACAACCATGGTAAGGCATCTCTAGCTTCCTCCATGGAACAATCGCCGCTCAAACACCGTGCGCTTCACTACGCGCTCAATCTTTGACCGACACACTGTGCATTATCTCAGGGCGGCGATCTCGGGCCAGGCCCCGTCTGGCTGCCATTTTCTGCACCAAGAATAGCAGAAGTTTCATAATATACACCTTGATTGGCCAATCAAAAGTCTGCAAGCTAGTCTCTTGGAACAGAAAGGCAGGCCTCATTAGCCTCTGCTTGCCAGCCCTTCCGGGCTGTTCACAGAGTCAGGTGCATTGCAAGAGAGTGCATGGCACCTCTTGCAATGCTTAAAGTTGCAACATTGCGCATCATGGCAAAGCACAACAAAGCTGTGGTATGGGGTTCAATCTGTTAGCTTCATCTCTGGAAAAGCCGTTTCAAGAATTCCCACCTTCGATTTTCAGGCACTCACCTGAAGGCAAGATGACCCGGCTGTGGTCGCTGAGGTGAGGCTGCTGGCGGCTGCGTCTCAGAGGGCGCAAGTCCCAGGCCAATCCTCATAACTACACGCTCGAGGCAAAGAATTATGAGGGGCAAACAGGCCAAAACTGGATGCAATGGATCAACTGCAAATAACACAAGGTGTGTACATGTGCCTATGAATGTTCATGCACATACAGAGTACACACATTGCAAGCAAACGACTCAGCTCGTGCCAGGAATTCGCTCGTGGAGGACTCCGTGCCTGCACATGGCGTCGAATCGATTTAATGTTGACCAACCGGTCCTCGCTCATTTATGTTCTGAGGATGGCTTGGAGCCCATTCCGGCTTCTACATAGATGGAACATGATTGTCCTGAGTTGAGCTCACCTTCGAATCTTCCCCCCAATACAAACCAAAGCTGTGCAAGGCACGCGCCTTCCCTTGGCGCTGGGCGAAAGCTAGTGAACAAGCCGTCGCTCTGCACATCGAAGACGTCCTCTCATACTTTGACCAAGACCATCCGAAGTGAGGCAGTGAGACCTCAACAAGTTGATAAACAAAAACAGGGCAGCTGCAAAGTAAATACGAATAAGAAGAGGAAGCCAAAGAGAGTGGCAACTTGACAGAATCCAGCGCCAGTCCTCAACCTCTTCATTTTCAGCTGGCTCTCCGAACAAACGCCCTTGGCGAATGCTGGAATCGCAGCTTGCACGAACCGAGCCAATGTCTAATCGCCAATTGCACACATATGTAATTTGTGTCTTGCCCTTGCTTGAAACCGGCAAAAATCTGCCCATGCCACCGCAGCCCGTGTTCTTAGAGATCCACTCTTTCTGCAGAGACGTGCCCAACTGCCCGGAATCTAATGACTGATTTGCTTTGCTGAGAGTCGTCTCGGCTGCGCAACGCGTTGGACACGGTCTTCCCAGCCGAAATCTCCCGGCAGGATCGGTTTGGGAGGAAGCAGCGGCGGCCTCAGCTGGGAGAAGTGTGGCTTGCCAGCCGCAAGGCTCACATGATAAGCACTGCAGGCAAGCAGCGGCCATGAGGACAAAGGCTGCATGGCAATCTGCTCCAGCTCCTGACATTCGCGGGGCAATTTGTTCTACAGCCTTTTCAAGTTGCCGGAATACCAAGTGTAGAACATCTGGGCTGACAAATTGAAGCTCGCAAAGCCTCATCTTCTCTGAAGCTAAGAAGAGAGAGAGTTTGCTAGTGGCGGGCGGGTGGCCATGAACGCATAGAATTTGGGCTGCGCGGCAAAATATTGCTAAGAGGAAACAAGGTGCAGGCAGAAAGCCGTCAAGTGTTGCCACCTGTCAAACTTTATTTCAAGTAACAAAGCTCTTCATCATGTCATACAGCAATTGTTGCTGACATCGATCCAAACTCAGCCACACCCAAGTCGACAGACCGCCATCCCCCAAAATGGCCTGATTCACATCTTGAGAGATCCACTGGCTTGCCCGCTGAACTGCTTCTTCTGCAGCCTGGTCCTCTGGGGATTGCTCTGGCCTTGGCTTCAAAATCACAAAAAGTGGCTGCCAACGCTGCAGTGGCATAGCAACGCGTCATCCATCCCCTTCCAGCATTCATTGAAACTGCTTCATGAAGTCAAACTTCGCTGATGCACGTTCACCGATCATTTTCAACCATTCTAACTTGACGGTGGCCTTCGTGACTTTTGAGTGTGCAACATCTGGATGCGAGTTTTAGTAGGGGACACCCTTTGGTGGCGGTTCATGTCCCCCAACCACTTTCAGGTGGCCTCCCTGTTCAAATTCCTAGCCGTCTGGGTGCGCGGCGGCTGTCCGAAGGCAGCCCTCATGTGGCGCTTGCTTGAGCCTGGGCCATTCACAAGCCTCCATGCCCAGGAAATTGAAAGCTTCCTTGACGTATTGGCCATCGCTGTGATCATGCATTATGATCCCCTCAGTATGTTGGATCAAAGGGGGGGTCACTCTCCTTTGAAAGGGGAGGCGCAAGTGAAGGGTGGGAACATGTCATCTTTATACTGATCATTACATCGCAATTCATCATTATAATCTGTTCAAGTCATTGTTGTACTGATCATCAAAGGCGATGTTGCTGTTCGTGTATTATTACTTTATTCCACCTGGTCCGTCCACAAGCGGTGCCGGCGGTGATGCTGAGGGTGCTGCTGCGGCGGACTCGCGACTTTGCTGATCCTTTACTTTATTTATTATATCGCTAGGCCTTGATGGCGATGCTTGGGAACCTGATGATGATTGAGGCTGTCACCTTCTGAAACAAATTGCTCCCGTCTTCCCATCCTTGTCGGCAGTTGGTGACTACTGACCTTTCCCTGCGTTAGACTTGGGCGTGAAGCGTGTAGACTAATTAAGGACCCAGGCTTGACTCACCCATCCCAGCTGTGGGCACGCGCCGGGCTAGTGTCGACCGAAGAACTTTGCGAAGCAGCCACCGATGCTGCCACACGGAAGAAGGTCCTGAAGCAATTTAAGCAGCAGATCGTGCTGCCTGCGTTTGCTAAGTTGGACGCCAAAGCTCTTGGAGCTGCCTCCGACTCTGCTTTGTAGGCCTGGTGAGGCTGTCAGGAACGTGGCCAGCGGGACGTTTGCCGTCAGCCCCTTCTTGCTTACTTTGCCCTTGTGCAATGATTGCGGATTGGCAGACATCCCAGTGGCACATATCCTCGCGCGGCAGAAGTGTCAGGGAGCCTCGCAGGAGCGCTTGCTAGAACTTTTGACCAAACGAAGGAGCCCGAGCCTTTGGCGCTTGCCATCCAATTTGTTGGGAACCGCGTGGGCTGCCAGCCGGCGCACTTTGGGCTGAACTCCCCCACCTTTGCCATGAGTTGGATTGAGTAGAGGCATGGGCTGCCACTTTCTCAAATCACGACTAACCTGCAAAAGGCGCGCAGCCCCGACCTGCAGGGGTTCTCCCTCTGAGGTACCGCGCTCGCGCCGGCTCCTTCCCTCATATTGTGGTCGTCACTGCTCGGACATTACATTACATTACATTACATCACATTACATTACATTGCATTGCATTACAATTACACTACATCAGGGGTCGGCGGTACAGGGGGACAGCTGATACATTGGAGATGGCTTACTTAAACTCAGGCGTTCGCAAGGGCGACACACGGAGTATGGCTGGAAGGCTATGGCGGATGCAGATCAACATGGGTGGATGGTGACGGGAATGTTGACATTCTGCCCAAAGCTCAGAATGTACTCTGCGCCACTGCTTATGTGCGCATTGTAGTCCCCAAACGTGCTTGGGCGCCAGGAGCATTCTGTTCCGTGTTTAGTGAACTGTAGTCTTCCACAACCCTCCTGTCAACTTCCCCGTTTGTTGGAAAGTAGTTACAGTTCGAACACCGATCAGTCTCGCTGTAACTCCAAGCGTGAACCCCCTCCCCAAATGCAGATATGTTGGTTCATGATCCACAACAACGCTGCCCCAAAGAAAGTCTTGCCCCAAGTTTTGGGCCATTTCCACTTTCTTGGTCCATGCGCCCAAGAAAGGCATGGAGGCTCAAGCTTTGATATGACAGTTGCGCTGCTTCATTAAGGAACGGTCTCTGGGATCGCGGCTGACTGCCCAGGTTGCAAAGGTTGCGTGCGCTCGAGCACTCGCTTCGTAGAGGTCCCTCAGTGTCCATAAACTCCTAGCTGGCTCCAGTATTTTGCAGGACTTCCCCGACCATAAGCAGGCAATCTGGCCCCGGCACATTTCTTGGGCACTGCTAGTTGGCACACCTACCTCTGAGCAACATGACAAATGCTCTTTCTATACTCGAAGGCTGAGGGTGTTTGAGATGCAGACATGTCATTCAGCGGGCCGACCTCTGTCTCTGTCTCCTCTGACCTAGCCAGCTCGCACCGGGAAATTTGCAAACAAACCCTTGTAGTGGGGATAGTGAGCTTCCGGGGAGTCAGAAGCACATCAGTGAAATGCATGCCGTGGCTTGCTGGGATTCTAGCCACTTCTCGAGACCTCGGGCTGCCATTGCGGCGCTCAAGGCCCAATTTTGACTGCGCGGTGGAGGAAGGAACAGCTCCTGGGGAGGCTGTCACTGCTCTGACGCTCTCATGTGTTTCTTTCATGATGGATGAATTGATTGCATGGCTACAAAAAACAAGTAGCAACATTGGACCCTAACTCTAGCGACTTTTCGTGTGCTGTTTAGCCCACGCCTCGGGTGTCTGCCAAGGTACTTCACGCACTCTCGACTCTGATGGCCTGTGCGGCAGATGAAAACTCAAAGACAAGGGATAAACATTCCCAGCAGCGCAGTGGCCATTCTTGTGTGCTGAAATGCCAAATATGAATTGCCCGGTGCTCATCCAAAGCGGGTCCGCCCCTTTTCAGGGGCCTGAAGTGCACGACTTTGTCTGACTCAGTGCCTCAATCCGTCCACAGCCGCTTGCCAGGTTCGGAGGACAGCCTTACTGCAAGCAGGGCATTTTTCCCATTTACAACAAGGAGCAAAGCCGAGACTATCAACAGCAGCTGTTCACAGGCGGCAAAGTACTCAGGCACAGGCCTTGAGAAGCATGCGCTCAAGCATATCCGCCTGAGCCATGTCAGCCCGACAGATTGTTTGATGGGCATGCCAAATATCCCCCTGATACATGCACACAGCTTCAGCGACTATTGATCAAAAAGTCAGATCTCCCTCTTGGTGAAGTAGTCAGAGTGCACCTCACTCATACTGAGTTTGATTTGGGCCCTCAAGGCTGACAGTTCATGTCAGCATTCAGAGAGCAATATGATGGAGTCAAAATGTGAAGATTCTTCCCGTCACTACCTGCCCACCCAAAAACAATGCCCCGTGGCGGTAGCTTAACAAGCGTTCACTGCAAGTGGTGCACCATTCTTTCTTGCCAGAAAAGCACTATGCTCAATCAAACAAATACGTCATGGAACAGCCCCACAGTATCTGTATCCATCAATTTGCCAAACGCATCAGAACATCAAATTGGGCATCCACTTCTTGGTATCTTGACACGATGTGGGGGTTGAAAAACCCCTAAAACAATGATAGTTCCCAACAAGAAACCACCAAAGCTGGGGGCCGTTTGGGGAATATAGCTGTGGGTCAAAATCCCGTACCCCCAGTGAACATCCCAATCCCCACTAAAATCGGTTCTAAAATGGGTGGTGCACCTACCTCAAAATAAAATGGGATCCCATCGATTTTGACCCACAGCCATTGATCAACCCCCATGTGGCTGTGGGTCAAAAATAGACCAAACCCCAAAATTGTTGGTTGCCCTGGTAAATGGAAACATGGAGCAAACCCGTGGTTTTTCCTGGTGGTTTCATTTTGACCCATACCCATGTCCCGCTCTCCCGTCGCATCGCAAAAATTTCCCTGGCCTGGGCCTGGCCCAGCTCCATGGCCCGCGCCGAAGGCCTCGCCGGCCGCGCCGGCAGCTCCGGCACCGCCTGCGGCGCAAATGGCCAGCCCCAAACAAATTGCCTCGGGCCAAAAGACGTGGAAAACAACAAACAAAACACAAAAGTCGCCTTTGCAAGAAGTTCGTAAAAGAAAACTTGTCACAAGGGCGACAAGGTCGAAAATCGACAAAAACCCCAGAATGGCACCCTGGGGAATGGAACAAAGGACTAAGACCTGCGGTCCATATCCTGGTAGTTTAACTTAGGCTTAGGCATTCAATCTTTGACCAGTCTCTACACTGGCACCAAGCATGAGACCATGCTCGTGGCTTCATGAGCGGAATAACGCGCACGACAAGGGGCCAGCCTCAACTGATATGCTCCGCGTAGTGACATCCGCTGTCTGCGTGGCACTCGCCTTCAATATGCAAGGCATGCCGCACACACAGGGTGCGTCTGCTATGAACCCAAGTAAGTCATAGTAAGTCTGAGTGCAAATTCCTCCTGCAACTATTCTGGCGCAGCGTATCCACCCCTCCCCCAGTTTGCGTACCCACTAGCTTCAAGGTGCAACGTTCCCGGCCTCGTAGACTTCATAGCGACGCCGCGAGGGCTCGTGTTCGTGCACCGCGACTGGGCTTTCTGGAGGCTGTGTTACCTTGAAGGAAGCAAGCACGGTCAATGTTCACCAAATGATCTGCGGATCAAAACAACTTGTTAGGCATCACACGAAACCCAATTCCTGGAGATCAAAGAAACACTTGTTAGACCTTTCAAAGGCATCAACAACTTGCTTGAGGCAACATGTGCCTGGAAAATGCGGAAACCGCACGAATTGATGACACGTTCAGAAGGCGACTTGTGCTGAAACTGGGAACACTTTAAATTGTATCGCAATTTGTGGTTGCTCCTGAAATGTGCCTTTCCCTTGTATCAGCCATCCAAGCGGAGCCACCATAGTGGCAGGGGTCAGCTTGATCTGCTGCAGAATTTCCTGCGCGGTGAACATGTAATCCCATAGTAGAATCCCATAGTAGAATCCGCCGCAAGAGTCCTGGTAGACTGAGCCTTTGGTCACCTTGCGGGCACCAAAGCAACTCAAAGAACAAGTCTGTGCATGTGGTAGCGGCGAAAATGATGCTTGAGAGCTGGAGAAACAAGTAGGTCGCAAGTGCCAATAGCACGCAGAACAGGTCTGACGCGAAACGTGAAGCCTTCATGACGCGACTGCCACTTTCTCTTGTCTGACCAAATCGTGATGCGGCTCGTGCTCGTGCTCGCGCCTCTTCCTTTAGCCGCTGTAACTCCACCTGCTGCGTGCGGCGGTCATCCTCGGCGCGTGCCACCTGAGCAAGCGATCGATCACGTGGTTGATCTCGCTGTGGCTCAAATACATGTATCAAAATGGCACCTTGGTAAATGGAACCAATGATCAAGACCCGCGTAACCCTAGTTCTTGAATTTGGAGCCATCATTGTCCTGCCATCTTCGATGTGCCTGCAGTCATGTGGTTGCCTTCATGCAGCGACTCCTCGCGCTTGAAAGCCATAAAAACCCAACGCCCCTCAGTCCCGCCTGCTCTCTCAGTAGCTCCATCTCAAAAGTCTGCTGCTGACGCGCTACTTTGATCTGCTCCACCAGGGCCTACTGTTGCGCATCCAGCATACCGCAAGGTCGCTCTATTTGATGTGCAAGCCAGCCCACAGCGTGACAACACATCCACATATTTGCTCGCACAAACTAGACCAGCTGCAACGCCCGCTGGTCAATGCGGACAATACGACTTTCAAAAGGACAAGCATGCTGACTGAGATGCGACAGGTACCACGGAGCCTCTCGCTCTACAGAGGCAAGTTGCTGTTGGCGCTGCAGGGCCTGTAAACTCCCCTTGTGCGCTTCTCTGCCAAGGAGCCGAAGCACAACTGCAACCACAAGCAAAGCACTTGGATCTGCAGCAAGCTGGCCTCGCGCTCAGCCCGCTCAGCTGCGTCGCGCTGCCGCTGCACCTCCTCACGCTCTCTGCGCAATGCCTGGCAACAAACCAAAGCTGCTGTCCACAGCTTGCCCTCTTGAACCCAGGGGTTTGGGTCAGTTGGAGAAGTTTCTGATCACTGCAAAGCGGGGCACACAGATCAACAAATAAATAATGGCGTGGACAGGTTTGGAGTTCATCGGCCTCTGCAGCCTCTCGCTCTACTGCCTGTCGCTGGCGCTCCAGCTCATCTCGCTGTCGCTGCAAGGCCTGCGAATGCGCCCCGCGCCTCTTTCCCGCCCAAGTCGCCTGCCGCACCTCGCGCTCTTCGCGTTGCTGGACCTCCAGTGCCTCGACTGCGATTCCCGCAACTCCGGCGAAGCCGCGAGCTGAGCGCCGAATGCGATGCTCGGACTCCCAGCCTCGCGCGCTTCTCGCTCTCGTCTTAGCTGCAAATCGGTCAAGGCCTGGCAGGGAGACAGCGCATTCCTTGGCTCCCCTCCATCAATGCTTCAACTTGAACTGCACTCATCTTTGCATGGCGCCTCAGGATCTCGAACCTGCGGTGCCGAGTCGCTGTGACATGTCTATCATTGCAGCTCCCCTCCCAATCAACATGGAACGGCGATTTTCCCTCGGGGACCCCCTGGCAGGTTCCATGTGAATTGGTCCATTGGTGGGCTAAGTTCCAAAGCAATCCGACTGATCCGAAGCCCGCCATCCCCGCCTCGCGCTGGCGCCTTGCCTCGGCCTCGTGCTCAGCTCGTTGCAGCTCGCGCTGCCTCTCGGCCTGGCCGGGAACTGGACACCTCCCGGGACGAAATTTGGGTATGGGTCAAAAGTAAACCCACCAGGATACAGAACCGCGGGTTTTGGTCGATGTTTCCATTTACCAGGTGGGGTATCTATTTTTGGCCCAGAGCCGTTTCCCCTTCCAGAAATCGGCTTTGAACGGGCCATGCCAGGATGGAAATAAAGCTATGCTTTGCCGGCCTCGCGCTCCAAGGCCAGCTTGCGTTCGAGCTCGCGCTCTCGCTCCAAAGCCTGACTTTGCGTTCGGTCTGAGAAATTCGCAAAGAATGCTCTTTGCACGCATCCAACACTTTTGTTTGGCCGGCCGTTGCCTTGCCTCTGCCCGGCGAAGCTCCTCGGCCCGCTGCATTGCCTGCCGAAAGTAGACGACAAGGCAACTTCCCTCTCGCCTCTCAAGTGCAAATGTGCAAAACGCAAATCTGGCACAAAGTCGCAATTCTTGGTTCGCATGCCTCAAAACGGATCTCTCTAAATCCAAGTCGAGGTGGGCCCTTGCTGCAGCGGCTGCCAACACCCGTTCTGGGCCATGTTACCAGCGCTTCGACGTGCAAAAAGGGGTTTGTCTGCTGACGTTCCCCGAGAAGGCGGAAAAGTGCCCGCCTCCTGCTCGACCTCTCTCTGCCGTTGAAGTTCCAAGGCCTGGCTTTCGGACGCAGCCCTAGCGCCAATCTGCGGTAAGTCTTTTACGCGAGTCATGACCACCGCCTAAGGAATATGATACCCCCGACAGCGCGCGTCAATTTCAGCTCACGTGTTTGGCGAAAGTAGCTGAGCGGCGCGGTGTACTATTGTAGCTGTGGTGGGGTCGCGCTGCCGTCCAATCGTCCGAACGCGCTACGTAAGCTCAAGCAGCAGAATGCTTTGCGCCAAGAGTCTAATTGAAAGCGTTGTCGCACTTGTGACAGTGTTCTTGTCCAAAGACATGATTTTGAAGTTGGCCTGCACAGCTATTCCTCACAAACACTGTGCCCATCATTTAAAGGCGCTGTCAAACCTCATTCTCAGTCCAATTCACGTTCGCTGCTAATTATACCTTCACAGGGGATGGTGTGTGGCGGAGGTCCACACGGCACCATCCCACTGACGCTCTTTCTCTCGCATTGCTGGAAGAAAGTGCCCAACAAGCACTAGCTGTGGTTGTTGGGTCCTCTTCCCTTCCAATACGCGAAGATAAAGAGCGGCAGTGGGCCCGAGGTGAGATGCCCCATCCTTGGACTCTCAGCTTGCTTGGGCCACCGAACTGCCTCATGCGACGCGAGCGCAGGCCTGTTGACCCTGTTTGGCAGACAACTCTTGGGCCTCCGAAAGCTCTCCTCCTTGAGATGCCACAAAAGCTCTGCGTAGACAAGTCATGTCGCTCATGAGGTGCTGAGCGAAGCCTGCAAAATCTTGTGAGGGCTTGGCCAGCTCCTCGACATTCAGCTTGGGCTCAGCTTGGGCTCAACTTCAAACATCGCTGCGCAACGACTTCTCTTGCTTGCCTCTTGTCAGGCGTGTCCACCATCATGAATTCTCCATCCTGGCCAAAGCCTTCGCCCTCGTCTCATCCAAAATCTGTGGAGACAAGCTGCTTATCCGCCACTGCCCGCCGAACTTGGCAAGGAGTCAGCATGCATCCGAACAGCCACAGGCTCCATCTTCTCTCGTGCCCTTTTCGAACCGCATGCACAGCTCCGAGTGTGTGCCTTTTTTGTCTTGTGAACCGAACAAGATCTTGTGCTGCGCACTGAATCTCCCTGTTAGTGGCAGATATCTTATTAATTGACAACTGCGCATCGAAACCGTGCCAGAAAAAAATCGCAGCCGTAACACGACATGTCTTCTCACACTTGGTTAGAAGTGTTCAACAAGGCATCGCTCAAGTCTTCAATCTGGTAGCAAAGCAAGCGCAAGTCAGCAAGTGTGGCCTGCCGTTCTGCTTCAGCATGTTGACGCTCTCGCTCTGATGCCTGCAGGGATGAATGTCCTCAATGAAGCAACATCCACTCCGCAAACTTAACACTCCCGCATAACACATGAGCTTATGACAAAGGGCAAAGTGCGATTGACTCTACTCAAGGGATCCCTCTTCTCACCATTGAAACATCCACACTGTTCAGGATGGGCCTTAATCGATTTGCCAGGCTCAGACTCCAGCAAACACTCTGGCCGCAGCTTGGGTACTGAATTGATAGTTGCCTACACTTTCTGTTCAGCATGTGCCTTTCTACAACTGCATTCTTATAGCAATATGTGTGAAGTCATCATGCTGCCATTGTTATCCTTGTGGAGTCCGAAACAACAATGGTGCGCTTGTGATGCCTTTGGCCAGCTGTGGCCGCTCTATTGAGCTGTAGCCAACACAGCGTGCAACTGCCTTTGCGTGACTGCGTCACAAATAGTTGCTGTTGATTGTCCTCTGCTCATGGCTCTATCAGATAGAGCCACAGCCGCGTCCAGCCTCCTCTTGCATCTTCCTCATCTGCGCCTCATGCGCTTCCTGCGCCTCTCTGGCTTTCAAGGCCTAGAGGCGAAGTGGGTATGGGTCAAAATAAAACCACGCCGGGACATCAGGTTTTAGTGCATGCTTCCATTTAACAAGGTTCCTTTTTGGGTACCTATTTTTGACCCACAGCCAAATGAGGGATTCACTGAATTCACCAAAACTGAAAGGCTCCCAGACGTGCACTCCACACGTCAAAAGAAACCTGCTGCATCGTGCCTCGGCCTCTCTTGCAGCGTGCAATCTTTGCTTTTCCTCCAACACTCCAAACATGTTGCAAATGTGCCCACACTGACACTACCATTTTCAGCATCCTCCTCGTACTGCTTCTTTGCAAGCTCTTCTTTCCTCCGTGCAGCCGCTTTCTTAAACTCCTGAACATGCAGCCAGGTGGTGCTATGCTTGGCAATCTACAGCCAAACAACAAGAGCAACGCTGCCGTCCTGGTGCCATTCATCAAATATCTCTTTCAACAGCTCTTCACAGAGTTGCCTGGTCTTCAGAAGTCCCAGAGCTCAGTGCTACACCAACTGTTGCTGTGACAAAAGGCACTCAGTATCTGAAGGAACCGAAGGCCTGTACATCTTCTCGGCAACGGAATCGGCAACACGCTCAGCCTTTGCGACTGCCTCCCATGAGCCACTCAAGGGTTATTGCGTGCCCTTGGGATGTGCCCCAAGTTTCATTCCCGGTTCACTGTCAGTCAAGTATCAATTTATGTATGGTGTGCTTGATGCGTACATGCATAACTGCAGTATCTATGCATGTACTTGGGTCACGACCTCAGGGGCATGCAGAAATTCAATAATTCCCCTTGATACTCTGTGATCGCAGTGAGACATGGCTATTGACTTCTCGGACTTGGTCAGTGAAAAATGCCATGGCAGGCCTCCTCCTTCATTCGCTTCACTTCTTCTTCATGCTTTCTCTTGGCCTGATGGCACACAGCACCGCCTCTCACAGCTGCACTCAGGAGCTGCCTCTTCGCGCTGCCTCGCCGCTGCAGCGGCACGCACTACCTCACGATGCTGGCAAGATAGCGGCCGTTTGGTCGGGCATGTTGGGATTGCAGCTTGGTTTGAGGAGGCCTTCCCTAGGCGAAGCAGCCACCCGGGTTCAATGAAGAACATAGCAGCTTCCTAGTTTTGGGTTCCATGTCCTCGGCCACGTCTCAGGACTCGTATCGCACTGCTTGCCCTTCACAATCATGCCAGACCACTGTAGGGAAACACCTTTCCCCGGTGCCTCCTGCCACATCTCCACGCACATGTTGAGCAGCTCCTGCCACAACATCCAAGTCAGCACCAGCCAGCAGTTGAACGTGCACTAAGCCATGCAGTGTATGCGAACACTACTAATCCTCGAAAATGATTAGTCTCTTATAGTCAAAGGAGAGCCTTCATAAAAGGGGGCAGCGACATGAAGGGCCAGTTGTATGATTGCATTGCCAGAACTGTACTATCTCACCAATCGGACTTCTCTCACAAGGCCCTCTGCAAAAAGCAGCGTCCCCTCTGGCATGCTTTGAAGGGGGGTCCCTGGTCGTGACGCAGCCGTGGCATTCCGTTCTGAAGAGCCCACTCGTCCTTGCGCATCTCAGCTTGCATGCGGTCCGCCAGCTCCTCCGCTTTCTGGCGATCCCTTTCCAACTCCTGGACGTTGAAAGGCAAGCAGCATGAGTTAAAAAAGTTGAACAAATTGTGTTAGTAAACTGCCCGCAGACTTGCCACACTCTCTCATACTAGACACTTTCAGAATGACAGTTCTCTCATTTCATTGAATGCATTCCCAATTGACATCAATGCACCTCTCTGTCTTCAGGGATACAGCGTGGCGCTTTTGTAACCACTCAGCAAGATAACATCTGCCTCTTCACGCTTCCTGTGCCTTTCCTCTTCCAGCTCCTGCCAGGCTCAGTCAGCCAATTCAGCAAGCTCAGTTAATACGGGCAAACTGCACCATGTCCATCTCCTTCTCGCGTCTCTTCTGTTCCGCCTGGCGAGCCTCCTGGCGTTCGCTCTCAAAGGAAAGAGTATGCAGTATCATCGGCCAGTTGCTACCCTCCTCATTGACCCCAACTAGCCGACCATGGCGCTCATTATGAGCAGGCATAGCTCGCAGGCATAGCTCCTCCTCGAGTCTTCTCCTCAGTTCTTCTTCCGCGCGTCTTGCCTCCTCGTCAAAACAAACGACTGTGGCCGCAGCTTAGACATTGAATATCTGCATTAATCGAAATGCCACTCACCTCGGTTGGTGGGTGGCATGAACAAACTGTGCCGCATTGAACCTCGTATCTGCTCGCTGCTAGCGGTTGCGGCGGGGTTGCTTGTTGTGATGTGGTTGCGGATGTGTTCGTGGTTGTGGCTGCCGCTGTTGTTGCTGCTGTTGCTCTTGCTGGCCAAGTTGCCCTCCTTGAAGAGCTACGGCGCATCGTGCGAAAATACCAGACTGCTTTGGGGCGGGCGCAGTTGTTGCAAAATCCTGTTGGAGCATCTGCATCTACTTTGGGCCTTTGGTTCCTGCTCAATAAGCATTGCTTGCATGAAGCTGTCGCTGTTGTTGTTGCAGTTGCTGCTGCTGCTGCTGCGTGCTGCTGCTGCTGCTGCCGCTGCCGCTGCCGCT